AGAAAATTGTTCATTATTATTATTATTCAGTCAAACATTAAAACTCTGATATGGAAATATATGTAAACAGCAGTGGTCTTCAAATGTCTCCACAAAAAAGTGTTAAAACTGCATTAAAAGCATAACAGATTAGAAAAATATATAATAACTACAAGCAGAAAAAAGGCTTCTTTAACTATTGAATTTTAATATGATTTATATTTTACCCTTTGTTATTACACAGTAATATGTGGGCTACTGTCAAAGGAACTGCCCTTATGGACCAGTAAATGATTAGAGTTGTCCAAGTCCAAGCCAATGTCCAGGAAATCAGAAAAAGCCCACATATGACTGTTGATAGATAGTTACATCATAATTGCAGAACCAATGACATATGTGCAGCTAGGCTAATGTGTATGTTTGTATGCCTGGTACACAGTGCAGAGGTGGGGGTGCTCGTGTCATTGAAAAGTGCTCCCCTGTTCAACATGCTGGATTAGCACCAGCAGTTTCCCATGGATGGTCCCCACCCGGCCCCCTGCCCATTTGCATAAGGCGCAGACAGCCGGAGATGCCACAAACAAACCTGCACATACAAACACAAAGCTGGCTGCCTCTGTCACACAAACTCCTCTTTTTAGTATTTTATTCAGAATGAACCCACCTGTGCACACTCCAACCAAGTACGACCATGGGAATAATGTGGCTCTGCAAGTACCATCATCCACAGACAAGTCTTCCCAAACCTTGGCCTATACACAGACACAGAAAGTTTTAGTACATGAGGCATACAACAAGAGCAGTGCTATGTGAAAATATATTTTAAAGTTCTGGTGGAGGGTCTAAGACTGCTGCTTGTTGATATACAGTGTTAATTCTTTGTTTACAACGTTCCACAGTATGGCTTTAAACCTGACTATTTTCATCATACCAGGAAAAGCAGATGATGACATCAGGCCAAGTTACAGGTCAGATCTGTGGAGAGGTGACCATGCTCTCCTCTCACAGTAATAAAGTTTTTCCTAGGTAATTTTGAGTAATACACACACCTGCAATTAGGGACGGGTATCATTAAGAAGTTGCCGATATGATACATACACCACAATACGATACATATCTCGATGCAGTGAGCTTTCGATTCGATATCTTCGATTCGATATATTTCAAATCAATTCAATACAGTTCAGTAAAAAATAATGGCAAAATCATGGCTGTGATAGTAAAAGTCTTTGTTAAACCACTTCCTGTGCAAAGTTTGTATGAAACACAAACATTTTAATAATTAAAACAGTGAAAATGTGAAATGCGTTGCATAAATGTGTTTTCTTAGTCTAAACAAGAAACAAAACTGTAGCTCTGTAACAAAATAATTGCGTAAAATATACTAAATATACTCTTGGCGATATATAGATACAACAGCCCATGATATCGATAGTGTATCATCAAAGTAAACAATATTATATATCAATATTTTGATATTTCTGCACACCCCTACCTGCGATAGATATGTTTAATGCCATATTGTGGAACATTCCATGCAAAACCATAATATTCTTGTAATATTGGATACAGGAAATTATGTGAGGCAAAAGTGAGGGAGAAGTAGGCTACTATATAAAAAGTTACCATCATATTTATCATATCTTTAGTAGGTTTCAAGTGTTGCATAATTTTAAAAGCTACACTACAGTGTTGGTTGTTAATCAAAACTTGATTACATTACCGTATAGTGCTTGTGTTTGTAAAGAGTAATTTCTCTTGGGCCTTACTGTCCTATATTCTGCTCCTGTCCTCTTCTGCACTGGTGGAAGTTAGATTTAAGTGGAGCGGCCCTGACTGGCATTACCGTAATTAATGATATAAGTGGCACCTCCTCACCTGCTATTTTGTGATTATATTTCTCTGTATTGAAGTCTTGATCCCTGCATTGTCCATATAAATTCTTCCTGGGGCCATAAACCAATCAGATTCGAGCCGTAATGACTTCCCGCTTAAGTGCATTAGACTTTGATGTCACGAGAGGATCAGATTAATTCATTACCTGATTCCACCAGAACAAGATGAATATTATATCCCTCCCATAAAACTCTGGGATGTGACAGACTTCTTTGTGCTAGCATTGGCTCGGGTCCAGCACTAGCTCGGTCAAGTTGGCGTGAGGGTACGTGGTGTGCTTTTCTCCTCTCCTCTCTCCCTCGCCTTCTTTCTCTACATCTCCGTAAGGCGCCGCATAACCTCTTCAAAACTGGACAAACACAAAGCCAATCAACAAATCTCCCATGCTTGAGCCCTCCGTAACATAATAGGACCAAATCATCGTCTATTTAGCTTCGTCAAATCACTGACAGCAGGCCTTGATAAAAGAGAGTGGAAAATATGTAGGGTACAAGACGCTGCCAAGACCCTCACCGACTCCTATTGGAGCCAGATGTTGACTCAACTGGCCAATTTTGATAAATGGCATAATGATTACCATTATAGATCGGGTAATTTTATATCAGCGTGCCACATTGTTGGGTCTTTTTAATGATAGCCAAATGAAGTCTGGTTTAATGCCTCAGGCCAGGTGGGCTTCTATAGGCTACAATGTGCAACAAGCAGTGCCCTCATCATCTATACCTACATGCAGAGGTGGGAAGAGTGGTCAGAAATTACACTCAAGTGGGAGATCTGTTCCGAATAATGTGGCTCAAGTACTTGTAATAGAAGTGGTACAAATAATTGATTGTCAAAAGTTTGTGCAAAAAAGGCGCCAAAGTTATTTTTTGTAATGTGTAAAATGATGATGTTATAAAACAAAAAATATAAAAATAAAAATAATCATCTGTCAGATTATAGGATGTGATGTCATGTCCCCAGATGGGGGGCAAGAACCAATTATCGCTTTTGATCACATTGTACTTTGCCATAAAATATCCAGGGTAAATTCACACATATTGAAACTGATCATTTCTATTAATGACGAACCATATCAAACATATTCATTTGAGCTGCCCTCCACCTGTTTTAAGTATTATTGTCCTAAAGAATGTTGAGATGTTACCAATACATATTTTCATAAAGGCCTCAATTAACCTTTGTATTGGCTGATAGAAAAAATTGTTGGTGCTGCATATTAACATTACAAAAAGAAAATTCCCAAACATGCTGTGACAAAACTGCCACAAAAGAAGCAAGAAATGATTCAAGTAAGTCTTAGACAACTTTATGGTGGCTGCATAGGCTGTATATGGTCTATGGGTGGCTGTCAAGATGACTGTCACAGCCCCAGGTCCCTCACTCCCGCTGTAGCCATTTATGTGTCAAGTCTCTGCTGCTGATCCCTCTGTTTATGTATGCAAGCCTTTTGATCAAAATAATTCATGTTAATTGATCATACATTTTGAGTAGGCTACATTCATTGAAACATTCTTTGCAATATAATGACACATTTCTGAAATATTAACAAATCCTGTCTTTAGGAGGTATGTTAGTGCACTGGTCCATGCTTCATACAGGCCTATGAGCGCCAGTTGTCTTTAACCAGCTGCAGCCTTGAACACATTGCATAGCTTCTTAATGAGACTTTAATTGTCTGCTTATCCTAAGTTTTGCCTGGTCCATGTTCACAATCCCATTAGGAAAGCTTATTAGACTTTAGCTTGTTCATATGTGGCATAGTGACCTACATGGGTCTTACCTTGTTCGACCCGGTGCGGTCCGGCTCCGGTCTCTTGTCTCCCATTCCTCAGGGATTGAGGTTTTACTGTAGATTAGCTGCAGAATTACGATAAAGGCCCCGTGGGTATGTGGGGTCATGGGAGTACTCCAGGACACCAACACTAATGTTTGCTTTCAGGAAATACTGTCACAGACACACTTCTGAGAATCAAAGAAATCCAATTAGTTTAATACTGAAGTTAAATAGTGCTCTGATCTGACAGTGTCCTCGCACAACCCTACGGCGCTAACCTTGTTTTGCACTGTTAGCCCAATTTAGCAACGTGATCAAAAAAAGTGCACGTACAGTATGAAACTTTACCTGATCAGAAAATTTCCATAAAACTGTCTTGGAAACTACAAGTAGGAGAAATGACAAAACCGATATGTCAAAATAGGAGAGTGGCTAACATGTTTTTGAGATTTGTTAGCGTACCGTGGGTATCTGACTCTTCTTGTAAGTGAAATGAGCCTGCTATAGATCTAATTGTATGTTTTATAGCCAACACGTGTCATTTATTATTGAATTAAAGAGATACGCTTAATTTAGCAATGCTAACTCCTAAATTAGAAGTAAACAAGAAAACTAGTTAAGTGCAGCAGAACCATGCTGAACTCGTTGGCCTCACCTTTACATTCAGCAACTGACTGGACAGAGTCAGTGATTCCCAAAGTGGGGTCCTTGGACCCTGGGGGCTCACAGAGGCGTTGCAAAGGTTGTTTCCAAAACAAGTATAAAAGAAATTGAGTTTTGAAATCAACATGATATGGCTGTTTACATTTACTGCTTTATATTAGTATTAAGCCTACAGGTATAATTATACATTTTAACCTTCCACATTGTATTAAATGTAGTGTAAATTATTACTGGTGGGTCACATGGGATTTTTACACCTTTGCAGAACAGAGGCAGTGGCACTGCAGACTTTGATAATGACTGCCTTAAGCTATAATGTAGCTTGTTTGCTTTGCCATATTATAGAACAGCATCAAGTTACTTTTGGTCAATTATGCCAAATATTTACCTTCAATAGACCAATATTATGAAAGAAATAGATCTTCCAAGTTGGGTCTGCTACCTGCTCGTCTCCATGGATGCTACTGTTATCTGCAGCTTCACCAGAAAAGCTGCACAGTGCATGACACACTTTTAAATGAAGTAGCGTTTATAGATTTGGTGTGACTTAACTTTCACATTTCCATTAGTAGTTGTTAGTTGTAGTAACCAACTGTCAACACTTTTACTTCATACTTGACCTCTACTGAATTTTTTAAACAAATACTTGGAAATTTTAAAGTCCTAAAGAATGAAATGGCACATCTCTGTAGCATAGCTCATTTTATTGTTTAAACAGTTTTGCATAGGAAATATATCCACTTCCAGTAATTGACTGCAGTAAAAACAGCTGCTAGCAGTATAGGCTGGATATAACAGTAACAATCACAAAAAGTTGAGCCATTATTTACATTGACTTTAATCTTGTGGCAATTTTAGCCCCTGCACCAAATGTAACCAGCTTGGAGGCGCTTGCCCATATTAGCTTGGCGTTTCTAAAATCAATAAAAGAAGAAGGGATATCAAGGCCTTCACTATAGTACAGTTCACATTGGACACCTGCGGCTCCTAAACTGTAAATGATAAGATAAAAACAAAACAAAAAAAAAGTTTCCCAAAAAAGTCATCTAAAACGTACATTCAGATACATACATAGACCTTTGCACACACTTGCAGTGTTACTACAATCACTACTGGAGACAGTTTACATATTGTTTAGTTGTTGTTGTTGTTGTTGTACATATCCACCTTGCATCATAAATACACGTGTGCGCAGAGGGAAGTAAAAGTGCCACAAGACCCCGAATAAAACCAAAGTCAGCCCTGCAGAAAAAAAAAAAAACTGTGACTTTTTCTATTTAAAAAAAAGAAAAAAAAAACATTATTTCCACCTTTCACTGCGCTGTTAGCATTATCATGTAGCATTAACTCATATCCCCTTGAACAGAAGTACAATTTTAAGCAAGCTTGATGTGGGCATTGTGTGCGGACATGTTTTCTCAAAATAAAATCACAAAATGAACAATAACAAAAGCAAATTTCCAGATGCCACATTGGGTTCTGCATGATGCCATGTTCTTGTCACATATGAAAGTTAATTATCACATTTTACAAGTATATACAACAGACACTTGGACAGCTTGGACAGGCACTGCATTGCTATCTTTTTTGTCTTCTTTTGGTGAATGTTACATCCTGTAAAAATGCTGGTTTTCATGTTTTTAGGAACAACCTGATGCCAAGTGACTAGCAGCTAGCCAAAGAAGTATGGAACAAGTGTGAGTGTATTGCTCGATGTACAAAGAAAAGGAAAAACAAAAAAGCAATTTAAAGTCTGCATGTAGACATTTTTTCATACATATTGCATGAGTGCCACAGGTCCTCCTTGCATAAAGTTGTCCTGTTTGACATTATAATACTTTTTAAAAGAAAATAATGTTGTCATCATGAGGCTCTAGAAAGATGTTGATAGGTGGAACACTGATTTAACGTTTCTACAGCCTCTTTCTGCATTCACACCTGTGTAGTATTTGCTTGACACATACTACCAGCTGGAAGGTACAGTACCCTATTCCCAAGCACCTGCAAACAAAGTGTTCAAATCCGGCGATTTACGGAAAGTGCAAAATCAGCATTTACTGATAATTTTGAGTGACATTTCTTAAGACCAAATCGGGCTCAATGTTGGCGAGTTACATCCGAAACTAGGCGTAGCACCAGTCAAGTTGCAATAGATTTGATAAAAATAAAAATTACAAAAAAGAAATTTATCAAGGACGTTTGTCACTGCAGTTTTTACCCTGCTTCACGTATTTTTTTAATTTTCTTTTTTTCCAGGTGCAATCTGGGGCCTTTCTACTGGTTAAGTGACGTGACACCTCCCAGCTGCTACAAGAACACACTCACACCACAAAAGATCTTGTTGGACAAGAATTCATCACACCCATTTCCAAAAATAAAAATAAACAAAATGCGTAAATCACATCACTCGCTATGGCCACACTAATGAAAGAACAACAATTCAAATACTTATGATTCCCACATGGAAATATCTAAGCACTAGGTTCAGAAATAATAATAGCAATAATTAAAAAAGCCTTCATGGTTGCTGTTTTTTTTACTGATTTCTAAAGATTCCCCTTGCTTTCTGATTTTACAAATACAACAAAAACACTTTAGACTCTAATAATATTTAGGGAAATCTGGAGAGTTCTAACTCAAATCCAGCCTCCGAAAAAACACAAAATTTCCTAAAATGGAATTGACTAATTTTCCCCAAAAACTGAAGATTTACAAATAAGGGCTTAAGAGATAAAGTTTTACAGTGTACAAACTCCTGTCTTTGATATTACAGGATATTTTTTTTTTATTTCTAATAGAAAGACCCTCATTTTTACGTTTAGTGTCCGAGGCACTCTAGCTCACACATACACCAAGCTGCCACTTCTACTGCCATCAGCCAGGATTTTACCCTTATGTACAGTCTCCTATTCAGATACACAGTGACCCTGACACATATCACACACGCATTCACACACACACACACACTCGGGGACAATGCACTTCAGTGGGGTCTCCAATGGCCATAGGCTGCAAAGCACTTACAAATTTTTAATCCACAAGAAAAAAAATAATAATCAAAAAAGAAATTTCAAAAACAGTGCACATAGTACGGGGTGGCTTTTTCTAGAATTTTTTCTACATAAGGGTGAAGTTGGAGAGATGGAGCTTGACTTGAGGGAATAAAATTTTTTTTACTTCCTGCTTCGTATAGTAGCCCTCTTGATAGCACTTGGAGACACGCCGCCAGTTCTCCGAGGGTTTGTCTTTCACGATTGTAGGGAAAGAGTGCAAAAAAGACGACAAGGAAATTTCACATTAAACTTGATTGAGATAAGAAATAATGCCCTGCTGTACGCCTGAGAGGTTGGTCGGTAACAGTTTAGAATAACTCCACAATACTGCAAAAGTGTGTAGTATAAGGGTGAAATGGGTCAATAGGTTAAAAACATTGATAGTTAGATTCCCGTTCTGATTTAATACATACTGTTGATGTGTCCTTGGGCAACACACCAAATCGCAACAGGTATCAATGCAACTTAAAGGCATCTAATAGATAAACAAGATAATTTTTAAAAAGTTGATTAACAAACATGCTTTTTTGCAAACACAAAGTAAAACCCTCAATTTTAGAAAGAGGAAGAAAACAGCTGGGGGTTGACCTACTGCCTTTGGGCAATACACTTCACCACCAGAGCCTAGCCTAGTAAAAGTAAATGGACGATGGCAAAAGAAAAGGCAGAGCACCTGACTTAAAATTGCAGTGTTATACCAAATAGTGCAAGTTATTCTAAAATGTTACCACTTATTGTTGAACACTGTCATAACGGGGAGAAGATGATTGCCTATGTGCTATATTTAAGTGCTATGTTTTTCATTCTACTGGGTTCTATTTAAGCATCTATTCTTGCTGGGGAAGGATTTGACATACAGTAATGTGCATATCATATTTACATTTATACAAATTTAATACTTATAAAATACTTTTTTTCTGAAGGCGTGCCTGAGCCTGTCTGTAGTTGATTCGGACAGCGCTCAGCAGTAGGTGGTGCGTGATTGTTGCGCATATCACAGGCCACTTCTCTGTTGTGTTTAAGGCATCTACTTGGGAAATTGCATTCGCGAAATTGAACGGCGATAGTCTTCCATCCTTATAGGGAACAAAATTAGAGAACAGGCGAAAATAAAAGCTAAAAATATATCAAAACGATTCTCAAAATGATTGTCAAACTCAAGTCAAGCTGTCTCTCCTGTGATAAATGAGTCAATGTTGCGAGCTAGCACCCCAAGTGGAGAGTTAGAGGAAGTGTCACAGTAGACCAATCAGTGACTTTGCAGCCATAGTAAGACCAAGGGTACATTTTGAACAATTAATACTAAAAATTAAATAAAATTCCCTCTCAAATTCAAATTCATGGGCTCGCCGCCATTCGGTAGGCTGATTTGTTAAAAATTAAAAAGACCTTGTCATATACTGCATAGAAAGCAGTCCCCACTTTGGTCAATAAAAAAGGAAAAATCACCCACGGCAACAACAACATCATCAACATCAACAATGACAAACAACAATATCAACAAAATAAATGCATTACAATATTGTCTATCTCCAAACTAGCCTCTAATAATGACGCATCTATAAGCACTACCTACATAGGCAAAACTTGGTATTGCATAATTTTCATAATTCTGAGTCCACCCTCCACAATAGTAACTGGAAGATGAACGAAATGAGAATTGAAAATAAAAGGAAAACAAAAAGATGACAGGTTATTAGAAAAACCACCAAAATACTGAAAAAATGCTGGTTGATTACAAACTTTAAAACGGCAACTATACACAGCCTTGATATGCAATGTAACTGTGAGATAGAGTAGTACATGAAGTTAAAAATCAACAATTTCATTCAGAGTACAAAACAATTCTTATCATAAAAATGTTAATTTTTCTATAATGATAAATGCAGCAAAAACAAGTGTAGTGATGTCTCTATATTCAAAGGCAAGGCACGTAATGTGGACTATATGTCATCGTGCAAATTAAGAGATATTGGAGAGATTTCCTGTATAAATACGTCAGGATTGGAGAGGCAATGGCTGTGAACATGCCGTGCACAATTCTGGATTTCAGGGATTTGCCACCACCTGGTTCATAACCGTTTCAGTTTGAAACCTCTTCCACTGTGGGTGACCTTGCACACACCGCAGCTTTTCACATAAGCTTACTGTACATTTGCATGAATTGTCCATGATTAATACTTTGCATTCCATATTATATTCTGTAAACATAAGCTTTAGAAGCTGATGGCCAAATGCATATGCTCTTGATCTTATCGTAGCATCAAAAGTGAAGTCGTTTTTACACACGCTGTGTTTCAGTTCTTTACTATTTTGTCATTTTCCTCAAAAATAAATAAGAGCTCCCCATTCTGATGGGAAGCATTAAAGAAGTGCTGCTGAACAGGTAGCTTAGTGCCTGCCTTCAACGGCCTTGATGTTTCCTCCTTTGAGCACACGGACAGGTGACTGAATTTTGAGTTTGTATGTTTATTTAAACAATTTACAATTCAATAATTATCCCCTTTGTTTTAGAGTCTTAGGGCTGACAGACTGATAGCTTCCCTTCAAAAATTCAATTGCACTTGCCTCTTTTCCTTATTTTCGCTTTTAAGTCCTTTTGAAAAGGAGTCGCAAATTCTTTTATGAGGGGTTCAATCTCAGGCCGAGCATTTAGTGTTTTTTGAAAACCGCATAAAGAGTTCTCAACTCTTTCTGTGTTTACATTAATTATTGAAGTAAAGAATAAACAAGTCAACACATTTGTCTGAACAAAGAGTCGTATCACAGTAAACTGAAATCAAACGGAAGAAGAAACACTCTGAATTCACATGTTTGTTCCTATGGGGTACACAGTGAGACAGTGTAGAGTCTCGTCCACCAGCCAGAGGTTGTACCCACCCCTTCACGTGTGTCAATGAACATCCCTCAACATGGAAAAGATTACCACTAAGAGACTAGAGTGTCATGCAATAAAACATTAAGGCATCTATACATCACAGTATTTGAATGGATTTGAAAGTCCTGCACACAACGACTGACTGGTGGTTGGTGGAGTTTGGAGTGGGCTGGAGACAGCAGACCTGAAGCCTATGATTCTCCCTCCGTCCTGCTTCAGCTCTCGTCTTCTCGGCCAACGTCCAATCACAGGGGCTCTCTGGGGGGCGGGGTCACAGGAGGAAAATACAGGGGAGGGGGGTTTAGATTGTGCAGCGTGGATATACTGCTTGCTGGTTTCATCCATGGCTGAAGACACCTGTAGTGCTTGCGATGCACCACCCAAAAGAAAAACAAAAAACAAAAAACATCCCCCCAAACCTCCACCATCTCGGGTCGACATGTCCACCATCTGAAAGGGGGAGGGGGGGTCCTAATCCAGCCTCTGTGAAATGGACTCAGTTCCCGGTTTCAGCCTGGACCAGTGGCTCACCAATGATGTTTATGCTGTAGTTCTGGTGGACATTTGTTGGCAGAATCGGAGTCCCGTTCGACACTTGGAATGGAACTAAGCTCGCCCAGGTACCAGGACTGCTGGGAGACAAGAAAGAAAACACACGACATGGCAACAAATTTAATAGGACAATAACTAAAACTGTCAAAAATAAATATTAGTATATTTTTCAACTGATTACATTTAGCATCATGTTATATTAAAGTGTAGCACAGTTATTAGAAGCATAATTCTTTTTAATTGAGACATAGTTAATTATGTAAACAGCATATGTTAAATAAGAAATGTTTGATTTTGTAGATAGGCCACACCACTATAATTATCTGATGAGAAAATGCATTTCACTTGACTTTTAATCATTTGAACTACTTAAACACACTTTCCTATAATAACAATAATAACTACTATTTCCTATCATAACATTTTGATGCTAATCCTAACACCGTTGTAATCTGTTCGGACACAGGTGTTAATTCTGCTTGTATAAACAGACCATGCCACACAGATTATGGTATAGAAAGCATGGAGAGTGGTATAGATTGTAGATGAGGTGGTGATGGTGGTGGTAGGGGGTGGTGATGGGTAAAATAAAGCAGGGGTGAGGAGGGGGGTGAAAAGGGGAGGACGGAGAGAGTGGGAGAGGGGGGCACCCTACACAAAGCTGTCCCATCCCTATTCATCTCACGCTAATGGCAAAACAACACAGCGATTGTTCCTCCGGTGCAACGGTGCTAACTGAAAGCGCGAGTGACGAACAAACGGCATGTTGTTCCCGTGGGGTGCGGAGCTACGTAGATGTCAGATAATTAGCCCCCCTCATCCCCCTTGCACCCCTGCCGTCCCCCCACCCCATGAAAAGCCCCCAGCAGCATACATGCACTCGTGCATAGGGCCCTCACTGCCACCTACCCCTCAGCTGTTTATAAATCACAACTGGGAATACCTGTGGCAATTGACTATGCAACAGAAAACAAGCAAAAGCAAATGACTGACAAGAAAATCATTTCATTTATATATCACTGTAATACAACACTGCATTTAGTTAATATTATTTTGTTTTAAACATATTTGATAACTTTTTCATCTTTTGTATAAAAAAAAAATTATCTAATACTGTACTAGAACTTAAAAAAAAAAAAAATCAAACCTCACCTCTTGCCACACATTATTAAAATAAAAATATCCATATATAATAATAATGTTCTATTTTTTGCTTATTGCTGTTATAGATGTCTGGAACCTATCCCAGCTTCTTTTGATTCTTACTGGACCGTGTCCAATTTGTCAATTCATAAAAAAATAATTTTATTTAATGGTACGTTGCCAAAACTTCTACACAGAGATAGAAAATGTCAGAAAACTCATCAAACATCCACTAAAAAAGTAAACTAAAAACTCAGAAATTAGTTTTTCTTCAAGAAAATCAGAGCAACTATATCTTTTGCCAAAACAGGCGAGCCTGATCACACTGACCTATATAGGTTATAAGACATATTGAAAAAGTTTTTGACACATTTTGGTTTATAAGGAGTTAACCTCTAGTCTAATCCTCTGCTTTTTCCTGCAGGGCCCATCCTCACACTCCGCTCCCTCCCTCCGCCGCTCCCTCGCCGCTCTCGTCCTGCCAAAAATCATCGGACAGGAAACGAGAGATTAAGTTTTTCCTACCTTCGCCGAACAAAGAGCGCACAGATCGGACAGGGGCGGCACATTTCCTTTTGGCCCATTCTCCCTTCTTTTACATCTCTCTGTTTTATGAAAGCCTACACAGGTAATGGCTTACGTTTCGGGGGACCACACAGACACAAAGCTGCACTGGTGGGGCCTTTGTGACCGCCGCGGCCGCAGGATCGGTTTTAATCTTGTTAAAATCGATGGCTGTCGCTACAAATCTACGTCTTGTAACTTAAAGCAGAAGTGGTCAGGATTTCAAAGCAAAGAGCAAAGAAAAGTCACTGTCCCAACACTGAGAATCACAAATGTACCATCGATGCTAATAAAGATATTGAATCAGAAAGCAGCAACCACACGCATAGGAGCTTCATCTTTTTTGACTAATGTCTTTGTGTATAGAAACTTATATATTTTTGTTAAATTATTACCATTTTACTAGTAATTCAATTCAATTATTTTTTGTTTATAAACTACTACTGCACCCGGGGCCTTTTCCTGTATAAATATTGACCACGTTTAAACAATTATTGTGCACCTATAAATCAAATGTTTGCCTTTCAGCCAAAGTAAATTGAATAATATAATTGATATAATTTTAAATTTACAAAACAAAGACTATGTTTTTCAAGAAGAAGATGGCTCTCTAAATTATAGAACAGGTTCAGGCATGATTTTAATGAAGCAAGTCACAAGTACCAACACAAACTACTTAGAATAATAACAAAAATAAAGGAATTATTTTTTTTTCTCAAACTAAAATGAGATTGTAACTGGACATCACTCCATCCTGTCTCCCTTTGTCCTTACATGACATCTCGCCCTCTCTTTCTCTCTCGTCTCTCGCTCGACCGGGCAGCTTTAGGACGTGACTGACAACATGACCTCCATCATGGGATTTCCTTAGGTAACCTTCCCAAGATGGCCGCCCCTCACCTCACTCCCCCTCTGGCCTCTGCTGTCCCCGTCCTCTCCCAAACCCCACTAATTCTGCCCCCTCTGTGAGCACACACTACAGGCCGGAGCATTCAGCGCACTTGGTTTAAGGATTAGCTCCCTAAATTAGATTATCTGATGGCATCTTAATGGATTGCTGACCCATTTCCTGCACAATGGCAACATGCAGGTCTGGCTGAGTTTTAATTTGGGGGCTAGCACCGAGGAGCGCTACGGCAAAGGGCAGCTGAGATAAAAGAGAAGGCATCCAGATATCTGTACATGAGCAATTTTGCTTACATAAGAAAAAAGTGAAAGTAATTTTTTTTTTAAACTGGGATATTTACATGGAAAAGCCTTAATATCATCTTAAAACTTAAAATAAATAAATAAATGTAGCTTCAGTACATTTTTGACTAGTTTATTTCCGCTCTTATTATTATCATCATCATTAATTCTTAATAATACTTAATACTTTCTGTTATGTTTGCTACAATTTGACAAAGCACATTCCCATATTAATCCATCTCTTCAAAACCCCCTTTCAGTAAATTTATCTTCTGTTTGTCTGCATTTGTCTCCTTATGTAAAGTCTTTGGGTATCTAGAAAAGCAATACATATACATCTATATATATAAGTGTGATGTATTATTATTAGGTTATGGATCTTGTTCACTGATAATGACAATAAAGTTGTTCAGAATTTTCCTTTCGCAAATCAAACCCACAATATGTCACCACCAGTGTGTAAACTCTGTGCCAGTCCTAAGCCTGAACAGACGAAGAAGTACATCAAGAAGAGCCTCAATTGAAGCTTAAATCCTATATTCAAATTTCACAAACCAAATCAGCACTGAGTAAAAATTATATATGGCGAGGAAAATAAACATACTACTGTGCTTACTCGGAGAGAGGGACTTTGATCCGCTATGGGGGACATTTTCCTACCTCCACTGATGTTTTAAGGGGCCTGTTTAGGGGCTGCTGTGGTGTGTGTTTTGTAAAGTTGCTAACACAATCTCCCACACGCCCGCACACACTTCCAGGGAAAGAGGAAGACTGGCTTGTAACAGGAAAAAGGCTTAGCTCAGCTCGCGGGGCTGTGTGCGCAGAGGTGAACCGGTTCAGGTTTTTCCTTGCACTGGGGGATGAGAGAGAGAGAGAGAGAGAGAGGAAAGAAAGAGGATAAGAAGAGGGAGGGGGAGGAGGGAGAGAGAGGGGGGTCTTTGTGTATGTTTAAGTTAAGGAGAGTAAAGCGTGACTCCCGCCCAGACAATACTGAGCTTGTTAAATTGTAGACGATGCTCACGTGGCTTGAAAGCACTGACCTGGCATGACTTCTCTTACCTGCACTGGTTCAGACTAATGTTGATTAAAATGATACAGAACTAGGCCTGTCACAAAAAATACTATATAGAGCTATCCTTCAATACATGACGGATGATATTTTTGAGACTTCTTGGGGGTCAGTATTTATCATGGGGGCTTTTTCTTTGTACTAGTGGAAAATATTTGGTTATTTTTCTGTTGTACGATAAGATTTGAGATGTAGAGTGTTGATTTATGAACTTCCATGGCTCATTATAGAAACAAACTAACTATATAAGTGTTGCATTTTGTTATTTATTTATTGCAATTTGTGTTTTTTTACCAATATTATACGTTTTTTATGTATAATTTTGCTTCATGGTTTGGTTTCAAAATTATCATTTAGCGTCTATATTTACTTCAGCAATATATCACACAACAAAATTTGTTATCATGACAGGCCTATACAGTACTGACCAAGTGTTTTACTGAGTGGGAGAAAAATTATATGATTCACTTAAAGATGCACTATGTAACTTTTCTGATGTTTGTTTCCATAAAGAGGTTATTTCTTGCCTGGAATGTTCCATAGTAAGGCAATAAACAATAAAATCACGGTGCAAACAAGCAGGTGACACTACCAAGCCAAGTTAGATCAGTTAGTAAGTCAGATTTGTGGAGAGTCAAGTCCACTCACACAGAGAAGGCATGTTGTTTTTTTTTTTATTTTGGAGAAAGAAAACATCTATAATTAAACACACCATAGACAGTTAAGTTTCATGCCATCCTGCCAGAAAGTTAGATATTGGACCTTTTCTATTTTCCTCTCAGTTTTCAAAGTTGATTCATTTTTTGTTGATTTATTCAATTCCAAGTTTAGTCGTGTAGAGCCAAGAGTATTTCATAGTGAATTGATTCCAAGCTTGGGCACTACATTTTGTCCATTGCAACAAAGGAGCAGCGCCTTCTAGGAGGTCTAGACTGTCAGAAGAGTTTTGGTTTCGATTTTTTGTAATTTTGTGTATTTGTACAATTTGCAGTCTTTCATATTCACTACCTTTTTAAGTTTTATTTTGCATGGTACAGACCTTCTACCAACTACTAAACCTGAACACTCACAAAAGCAACACATTGAAACATAAGGTGAGATGGTACAAGGACAATCAGACAGAATGGTGAACACATGAATCTATTGTACGTAAGTTGCATATAGAGACAGGCTTGAAAGAATGAAATCGTTACCTTTGCCAAGTAATCCCCAAAGTGTCCTCTGTGGCACTGGGGCCATAATGCCTGCCGTTTTGAGTCACGCTCCAGTCACACTTCCTCAGCTGTCAATTGAAACCTAGCGGTCAGATCACTGGACCAAGACAACTTCCACTTCAGATTACACTACTACAACTCAACAGTGAACACAGGGCATGCAGAGGAGAGCTACAGCACAGTCAGTGGGGTTAGTACATGTATGACAGTTAAAGAAAGGCTATGGACACAAGAGACAGAAAGGAAAGGGGCATGCGGTTAGTGGGAGTGGCCAGAGGTGGAAGAGGTTGTCAAAATGTGTGCTTGTAAATGTATTTTTAGATTAGGAAGAATATTTGTTGAGCGTACAAGTTTCTAAAGCCCCTCACCAGTACTATTTCAGCTACGAATGCTATTACTGCTTAGTTAATTATTCTTTGAGCATATTTGTTTGCTATAAAATGTGAATGTACTACTACTACTACTACTACTGCTACTACTACTACTACTACTACTATTACTACTGCTACTTTACTACTACTGTTACGACTGCAGTTACTAACCCTAATAGTCACAACTGATACTAATGAAGTACATCTGAATACAATGGCCACTACAAATAAAATTACAAGTGTACTACAGCTCAGAATGATTGTATATTAATTATAGGTTTTAACTTTACTTGGGTAAAAGTACATTTTTAAAAATATGAAATTACTCCAAACTCCAAATTACTCCAAACAAAAAAAATAATTGTCTAAAAATGGCAAAACAATCTAGTTACTTTCCACCTCTGTTATCCTGGAAACAAAAGTCATGGTGGGTTAGTTAGTTAGTTAAAGAAGGTGAGTGCTGTTGCTTCAGTATGTTTGGTGGGACATGTGTGAGTGTGCTGGGTTAGCCACTGAAGCCATGCAATCTGCTGGAAGCAGCCTGTCGATAAGCAGCGCTCCACTATAAGTGCACTTTTACATTCAGGACATATACCCTGGAGCATACACCACTTCTTTTTTTCATTAGCTAACTGTTTTTTATTGATTAGGGGTCAAAGTACAATGAAGTTAAAGCACACGTACACACACTCATGCATAAAGGAAAACCTCGCTCTTAAAGAAAGCCACGGCATTACAAATGACTGCAACAAAAAAGCTATACAAACTGCGTCCTCCTTTACATGTATTATGCGGACGCACGTGTGGGCAATCCAGATGAGAGCCGGCCACCACTCACCTAACCTTGCCCCGTACGCTACACATTCATTTAGTAATGCACCACAGCTAAAACTGCACGGTTAGCACTCTACGCGGAGCCAGGCGGACATTTTTTTTTTTGGCTGGGGCTCTTAAGAGGGACTTAATCAGATATAGCTGAATATTCAACACCATTTGCAGCGGTCAAGACTGTGATTCTTTTAACTGCAAGCACCTGCAAGCAAGAGACGCATCAGGGGAACGATGATGGGTGCCTACTTAAGCTGTACTTAAATTCAGTGATGTTGTTAGAAAGAGGACGGAAAAAGGAAATTTGTAATGTGATTTATTAGGTTTGTTGAGGGGTGAGAATCTAAAGGGTGCATATTAGAGTTTGGGTGAAATTTAAGTTTTAGTAAAAAGTATCAAAACAAAAAAAAACACAATCTCACAATGTTGAACTAACTACCTTGATCTGGAGTCAAATATCCTCTAGTTTAGGGACAAATGCTCTTTAAATGCCCACACAAAATATTTATGTACAATATATTTCTTGTATTTTAATGATAAAAGTCTCAAAGTGCTATAGAATAACCTAAATCACAATATTCAAATGTCGCAACATAAAAGACAATCATGTGTTTATTTAACTTGGGGAAAAAAATATCTTAATACTGGCTAGTTAGACCTCTTGAGAAGATGTAGTTCCAAAAATAAGTGCTACAGTGAAGGCAAAAATATGAAATTATATAAATAAAAAATGGTCAGCATATTTTTTTAACAGAACTGCACAATGTCATTTTTATGAACTATGTCAAAAATCTCATCTTGTTCTTGAGAGCTTGTCTTGAGGGAATTGTGTCTCGTCTCATTCCTACTACACAGTGATCTAGACTCCCACCGAGATTATTCATGCGCTCCCCAAAATTCCCACAAATTAAAAATTCTGTCCCACCGATGATTTTTGCATGGCACTGTATATTTCCACAATACACCCTTTGAATCCTGAGCCCTCGATTCATCAATCTTTACACTTGGCTCATAAAAGTGTATGGGAAACAATGCCCTCTGTAGTACCCTGCGTCTTTTTATTGCAGCCTGACAAAAGCTCGGTCCGGGCCAGACGCTCCGTGCCACCGCTCCTCCAGGGCCCTGCCATCTGTCCGCTGGCATCAGAGTGGCACATGCAGTGGGAAAAAAGGGGAAAAAATGGGAACGTCGCTGGGAACGTTTGCAAACAGATGCGGGCAGATTGTGGATTAGGATTCTCCCTTAGATAATACCAAATGACATCTGATCACGGATCTCTCCCTGAGGAATGCTAGATGGTGGCATTCCCTGGAGGGGTTAACCAAGGCGAGGGTTGAATGGTGGGTATATCGGGCTGCCTGGGAACCGCAAAGCAGGTGTGGCGCATGGACGTGGGCATGCGGGCGGCCTTTTCAAGTCTGGAAGTGGACTGGGTGAGTAGTCCAGAGTATTTTCTATTTTAGTGGTCTGACATTTTGCAGTAAGTACTGGTCAAAGATGCATGTGTTTAGCAGGTGGTTAGTTATTTTAATAGAGTTCAAGAATTTTACCTAAAAGGTGCCCAAGGTGAGAGATTCACCACCTCCTTAGTTTGTTATATTTAGAGTGTTACACAGCATGGCATTGAAACATACCCAACTTTTAATTATTTTCATTCAGGGTGCTTTCGTGTAAAGAAACATGTAAAAAACACCAATAACTTGTTCAAACTTGTGTAATGACATGCTCGTCTTCATGAAGATAAATAAATGTAATGCCATACTGTGGAACATTCTAAGCAACGTAATAACATCTGTGTGAAGACAAGCAAGACCATCCTCCGGAAAAGTTACAAAAAATGCCTTTAAGTTTATAATAAATGTATATAACTCTGGGACTGAATTAAAACTAACCCATATATAAAGACTAAACAAGGACAAAAATTATATAATATAAATGCAAACTAAACCATGACAAAAAACAAAAAGAGACATGTCTAAAATCAGGTCTAAACCAGGACTATAGTTTGACTTATTCAGAACAAAACCAGGTGTCTTAAGAACCACTACAGATGAACTATCCTGCTCCATTCTCTTCTCATCCACACTGCTGACCAAACTCAAACCCAAATCTAAACATGCCCAAAATGTCAATAAGCCAGGCCGATCCCATTCAATAAACAGCTGTCATGCACGGGTACAATGATGGAGGACTCAGTGTTTAGTCCTGGGGGGCTTGGCCACATCTGACAATGCTAAATCACACTTCAGAAACCAAAGCAACCGCAACAGACAGAAGCATGATGAATCTGTAGGAATATAAGCCCGCTTACTTAAACAAACAAGGACATTTATACACTGAGATATGTAGCAGGCTGGCAGCTAAATCCACACCATAAAATGTCAATATTTAGACTGCACAATTTACAGATATGCAATTGTACAGAAATACAGTTTGCAATCTCTCAACAGGATTTTGTAGATTCTTTACCACTGTTGCAAATAAAGATTTTGTGGTTCAGTTGACAAGCCTATTGGACCCTAAAATCATATAGTTTAGGTATGGTCTGGGAATTAAATTGTTACTATTGCAAATTTGTACCTGTGACTTAGCAGATTATCAATTACCAGTGCCATTTTATCATACAGTTTAGGCAAGTTGATTGAGCATGTACTAAATCTGAAGCCACCGTGTTCCAAATAGGAAGTGTTCATGGCTGCACTTCTGGCTCCATCGACTCAAATTGACTTTACACTGAAAATTGTCACCCCTCTCTCTATAACTGCTGCAGTGAGCCTCGTCTTTTTGGTCTTAAAATGCCCATATTACCCCGCTCTGTATGATCCTGATGTTTTTACTTCGCTGTTTTGTCTGTAAATAAATTTGGCTCTGAATTCACTAGCCTCGTGAGCTTCATTTGACTGGAGCTGATCACTCTAGTTGACATCACACTCACTTAGTCCACTGTAACAATCACAGAGCAATTATAAGTGAAAGGGTATTAAAATGCTTACAATAGATAGTAAATAAATACAGTGGTACATTATAGCTTTTTTGCTGTTAATAGTGGATAATTTAGCTTTCAGATGTGCAACAAAAAAGCCTTGTATTCTGCAGAGACATGTGCTGGATGTAGTTCAGCAGATTGAACAGCTCCACAAAGCGCGGCTCTTGTGTAGTCACTTTGTGCCCCTCCGAAAGAAGTCACAGAGCTGCTAGAAAATGTGCAAGGCAAACTGTGACGGCCGCCAAGTGAATCCTGCTTCTGCTCCTCCCTATGGACGCATCCACCAGTGATGTATTATATAGGTTAGAATAAGGGACAAAAATAACTCTTTCTTACAGCATTATAGTAAACTTATGATCTGATCCTGTGACAATACGCTATTATGATGCTAGATCGACATATTGTGATTCACTGCTTTTCTGTTTAATGCAGGTCTGTCTTCAAATGCTGACACTTTTCCCCACCCACTCGCCCTACTGGTCAGCCCTATTCACGCTCTAGTGAGTGACAAATGAATTTAACCAATCGCACTGAAGTATGAAGCAGCATATGGCTTTAGGTACCCGTTAATGCTAAAAAAAAAATACCAACTACATGAACTGTGCTCAAATTTAAAACTTTTTTTGCCATCTTACCTTATTCATTTTACTCATTTAAAAATATATAAAATGAGACGTGTTTTGATGCAGTGTTAAGTTAGTCTATTGCTGTGTTTGAGTTACATTACACAGTTCTATAAGTAAATTCTTAATATAATTGGAAGGAAAATTATATTGAAGTTTTGATTTGAATATAGCAAGTTATAGTATTATCACTTTTGTGGATATTTTTTGTATGAATTAAAAAAAACAATAAATAAAACTGGTTCCTGCCCCCCTTTTGAGTGCATGACATCTTTATATTCAAGAATATGAATCCACCAGTAGTAGGTTGCCTTTAGTTTACTGGCTAATAATAGATACTAATTAAAACATCACATAATACTATCTACACTTTTTCTTTTTCTTTTTGGCACATGTAGTTAGTAAATGGTCAGCTGCCAAAACCATATTGACTGTTCATAATTTGGGATATTTTGCTAACGCTAATTCCTCTATAGAAAATGTAATATGATCCGTTTAGCTTATGACACCATCCTTTATAGAGCAGCCATTCAACCACCACTAAAAGGATGCCAAACTCGCTTATTTGCTTTCCCATTTTGAGAACAAATGGGAAAAGAAAAGCCAAAACAAGAATGAAATAAAGAAAAATTGAGATAGAAAGAGAAGCGGAGAAACAGAGGGCAGCTTTGTCATTTTTTACGAAGCATTAAAAAAGCGAGGAGACGCTGAGGAGAGACCAGCCATCATTATGTAGCCGCGTGCAGATGCATTCAATTAGCTGTGGTTGGAGGAGCCTTGGCCCGGGACCAGAGCTTTCAATAAGAAGGGGAGGGGCGCACTTTCTCCCCCATCCTACAACACCGCAACTCTGCAAACCTCACAAACACACACACATTCATACATACTACACAAGCTACAGCTAAGCCCTGGACTTAGACTGCAATCAGAGGTGGGTATAGTAGCCAAAATTGAACTGAGGTAAGAGCAGTGTTACTTTAAAGGTTCACTATGTAACTGTCTGTTGTTAGTCACCACAGACGGTATATATAAATGGACATACCGTAGCTCACCCACTAGCCACCGCGTCCCAAATAGAAAGAGTGCACAGGGGCACCTTTGACTCCTTTGACTTAACTTTGGAAAATTGTCACCTCTCTCCCTGTAACTGCTGAGAGCCTTGACATTTTGGTCTTAAAATGCTCATATTAACCCTCTCTACATGATCCTGTTTTTTTATTTTGCTATTTTGTCCATAAATAGATTCTAATTCCTAATATGAACCCGGCTCCAAATTCCTTCCTGTAATCTGACCATTCCTGCACCATGAGCTTCATTTGACTGGAGTTGAACACTATGGGTGACAGCACACTCCCTTAGTCCACTTCTTTACACAGTCTATGGTCTTTTCCAAGAATGTTTTACAGTGAGGTATTAAATGTATTTGTCTTCACAAAGACAAGCAGGAGATGCCACCTGGCCAAATTATTGGGCATACATATGAAGAGGCAAATCAGCAGACAGTCAAAATGTAGTTTTTAATGCATTCAAATTATTTTCTTTTCAGTAAAACAAATAATTTATAAGTGGATGACTACAAAATATGTTTAATGGCATACTATCTAACATTCCAGCAAAAAGTTAATATTTTACTATCTACCAGTGGCTGCAGCTCCCTCATGCCATCTCTCAACACTGAGCTAGTGTACTCAAACTATAGCTAAATTGCATGTTACATTATAACATGTGAAACTATGAGTCACTCACTTCAGATGATAATGTCTGAGGAAATAGACTTGAGCGCATTACGGTGTTAAAGGCCCCCTCATGTCCCATTTGTCTTATTAGCAGTGGACGCATAATGATATGTACTTCCTCACAACAATTTCTCCTACTTGACTTTCACTCTAAAACCAAGCCACTTCAAAAAAGATGGGATGCTGGGTAAAATGTAAATAAAAGACAAAAATGGTTTAATTGCATAAAAAAGTATTAAATTATCAATACAAGCCCTGAGAAAGCATTTTTGTATTGGTTTAGTCATGTGCAACTTCTATGTACTAAAGATTGGAACTAGTTAAAAATATTAACACACTTATAAAGTTGTTTTATGGTGATAAGATAATTCCAAATTATTGAATGTACAGTGGTTTACATTTCATTGTATCCCATCTTTTTTGAATAGAGTACTCAGAAATTGAGGGAAACTGGCAAAACAGAAGTGCTAATTTTAACCTATAAATGTTGATGTTTGGGGGCTGGGGGCTGTATTTGGTTTTGCTATGAAGGAAAGACAGAAATGAATGAAAAAAGGAGGGGTGTGGGTGGGAGAGTGGAAAGGGTACAGAGGTATAGCTGGGGGGGCTCACCTGCTGCTGGTGGAGGAAGGCGGGGTCTCGAGGGCTCAGGCCCACAAATCGGTTGGCTGTGGGCGTGCCAGGGGCGGAGTAGCCTGTAGGACGAATCAAGATATCGGAGATTTCAATGTCAGATTCTTTTCATTTCTTTTTTACTCTGTTATAATATTTTGGAGTAAAAATAGCTATTACAATTACTGCACAAATCCATAAAATGTGTGATAGAAATAAAATGAAATGCTGCTCTGACAGATATCTGGACCAAGGCCACAAATCTAATCTAAATTTGCTTTTAAAACATGAATTGCTAAACATTATTGATAATAAAGCCCTGTATCAAGCCCAGTGCAGCATGGGACACATTTTGAAAGCTCTTTGAGGGCGGGTCGGAGCAGGACTGCACAATGCGGGAGGGATGATAAACTGTAATCCCGCAAACTAAATGTGAGTGTAAAGTAAAATATACAAATGATTCATGTATGCCTATCATGCATCATTTGTGGTGGATATTTTATTTGCCCTTAATAAAAAACATTTTAAGCAGCCTAAATTTGCGGCTGTGGTCTGATCTCACGCACATTTTAGACAATTCCTTTTCGCTTCTCCGTGTTTGATAGAGCGAAAGAAAGCAAATGTCCCCATCTTGCGGGACTTGCGGGCGGGAGCAGGACAAAATATTGTAGATACGGAACTGAAAATTACAATTCTTTATGGGAGCGGACGGGAGTGGGACTGTACAGTGCGAGTGCGGGTGGGAGCGGGACTGAAAATTCAGTTCCATGCAGACCTCTAATTGATAAGTACTTTTGACAGCACTTTCATTAATCTAATAATAATCATCATCATTTCTAGTATGACCCAAATGACTGTGATTATTTTATCCATACTCAAGTAGCTGTACTTGTGACTAGAGTTAAACCAGGACTAACCACCTACCTAACCCAAAGACTGCATATATGAATGGACATAGCTAACCCGTTAGCTGCCGCATTCCATATAGGAAGTGAGCACCTCGACTCTGACTCCAATTTACTTTACAAAAAGTGTTGCCCTCCTCTCTGTAACTGCTGCAGTGAGTCTTGTCATTTTGGTCTTAATATGTACGCATTAACCTGCTCTACACGATCTACATGTTTTTTTCTTTTTCACTATTTTGTCTGTAAATAAATTCCTATTCCTAATATCTCCAAATTCCTTCCTATAACTGCTAGCCTCAAAACCTTCATTTGACTGGAGCCGAGCACTACGGATAACGCCACACTAAAGTAGTCCACTTCTTTATACAGTTTACGACCTAAGTTGCACTACGGTAATTGTAAGGAGTTCTATACACACTTTAAACCAGGTTAAACCATAGTCTGAAAAACAAATATTATAACAAATACAAGAATTTGTGGATTATTTGTGTGTATACTGTGCTGGTTTAAATAATGCAGGAGTGCTCAGAATTGGTTGAAACAGCTGTAGAGTCTTACCTTCTGTGGATGTGGTGATGGGTGGCTTGGTGTCAGGCATGGACAGGGAGACAGGTCGGACTGCGCCGTGGTGAGGGGAGGGGGCCAGCACAGGGGTGAAGTGTCCTGGGACCTTTCCAACCACCTGACCACTGCTATTGGGCTGTGAGGGGGCAACAGAGAGTCAATGCAGTAACAATATATTGAGTAATGCATAGGCCTGTCACAATATTGCTACAGAGATATAATACAATAAACAATGATACTGAAGCTACTTATGCCACTGACACAAAAACAGTAACGCAAGATAATCTCAGTGAACCATTTTTAAATAGATAATATCATTTAAAAGGCCTGAGCTGCAACAAATAAATAGAAGACTGTACCAATAATTAGCCATAGAAGTTAGTTATTCAACCCTCTAGCTCAAATGTTATTGTATTACAACAAAAATACCCCAAAATTATACATGCAATCAATTTTGAGGTAAAAAATCTACTGTTCCAGCTGTATATATTGAACAGTAAGTCGATATAGTAATCATCATGACAGGCCTAAATACATAACAAAAAAAAATACATTTTGAAGTAAAATAATGCTGCTTTTTCCAACTTCTTCAACCTTTGTCATTCACAGTGACAGAAAAATGATAAAGAGTAATGAAAAATCTGCATAACTAAATTGTGTAACTTTGAATGGATTCGACAAAACAAATATTTTTAGAAGTTTTAGAAGTTTGCAGACAGATGAAAAAATAACACTACTATATCAGTTGCCTTGCACTTACAGCTGTTTGCACTTAGACCAAAAGCAGATTTCCCTCTGTGATAATATGATACCGATTCTGATTCAATGCTTGATTTCTGTTCAAACTGTTAAAATATTTGTTTTCTTATGAAACTTGGATCACTACGGTATAAAGAGCGAAGATTAATGTACTGTTGCTCAGATCATATCAAGTGTATTTCAAGATTTATGTACTAAGCAAATATGAATAAGTTAACAAATGTAAAGGGATGGACTGCTAACTTTAAATATCTTTTCTAAGTTGCTGTTTGTTTCTATGTTTCTTTGTGAACTTTGAATTTCCTTCGGGATCAATAAAGTATCTATCTAATACAACTGATAATAATGTTAATCTAAAAACTATTCAGTCACTAGTCAGATAACTTGCAGTTGTAGTTGTTTAGTCTATCACAAAATGTTGCTGTCTCAAAGGAGTCACTATGTTCACGAGTCTTATGTTTACAAGCTTGTAAAAATGCAATCAGGCAGATCTCAATAAACTTACAAGCATGTAACGTAACCAACTTGACTCTTCTATGGTGATTTACACTACACAAACTCAATGTACGTGTCAGGCTGCCCAGTGTGGAGAGCTGGGTAATTTCTTTATATTGCTTTCACACACAAAACACAAAATGAACAACAAAAGGTGAGTGGACAGCTTAAACTTAAAGCTTTGCAGGAATAATGGACTTTTAGTGACTGGGCCTGTCACAGTTAATACTTAAACTCAAGAGGGGGTCACGCGCAACAATAGATTTCTTACATGATTTTAGACAATGATTTTAATGTTGGTTATAAAGGGAATTTAAGAGGAGTCGCGCGTGAAAAGAAAAAGTCCAAGCCAGCACAATGGTGAGTGTACAAACCCAGGAGGCAATAGGGACTTTATATATGGACAGAGAGGGGGCTAGCTTTTTCAGGCAGCTGGGATCTGACCAGGGCGTCCATTTTCAAGTTCAGAACTTAAACAGGCCTTTTTTGGGGGTAGGATTGTGTCCGCAGGGTTCCCGTCGATGTGAATAGAATGTTTAATTAGAGTGTAATATAATCTGCGTTAAAGCAAGCATAAAAACATCCTGGCACTCGTCCATTGGATTATTAAGCAGCAAGTTATTTGCCGATCCCCCTCTTTCACTCACTGGCTGCTCTCTCCTCTTTCTTTCTTCCTCTCTCTCTCTCTCTCTCTCTCTCTCTCTCTCTTCTTTCTCTTTCTCTCTCTTTCTTTCTTTCTTTCTGTCCAGCATCATGTTGTGTTATGTTAGAATAGCCACAGCTTCCCCAGAACCCCCAGTAGAGGATCAGTCAAATCTCAACAAGAGACTAACCGCAAGAGAGGTGGGTTGCCATGTCTGGTTAGGTTGATTAGTGCATTAATATAAGAGCTGCTAATGAAAAAGTTGTATTTACTATTTATTTATAAAACATGGATGGACTGACCTTTATAAAGTATAGTGTAGAAGGCATTTAAGATATATCTGAATCAAGAATGATTAACCACACAATTTAGGGCAGACATGTCCAACTCAGGTGCAGGGGCCAAATTTGGCACACAATATAATTATATTCGGCCCACGAGATCATAGCAAATATGTATTAGAGCTGGCCCGCCGGCTACAGATAGGCTATAGAGACGTTATTTATTTAAAATGTTGTTATTATTTTATATTCTGCTTGTTCTGGATTCAATGTTTATGCAAAACTATTATTAAACATTTATTTTAATAAGAAAAGTTTTAACATTACATATCTCGAAAGAAGAAAAAAACATGCAGATGTTGTTGAAAATTTTTCAATAAATATTCAGTTTGGCCCACGACTTAGTCTCAGTTTCTAATTTTGGCCCTCTTGTGAATTTGAGTTTGACACCCCTGATTTAGGGCATAGCTACAACTTAATCGGACATAAACTATATTACCAAAAAACATACCAATCACTATTTAATCATTGTACTTTTTCCCCTTACAACCTTGTACAGCCCAGATATTTTTACTATATTTCTATACTTCTATTTTTCTTGTACATACACAATAATTATGCCTTATTAAACATGACGATTATGACATGATGTGAGCTACTGTGCCCAAATAATTTCTCTTGTGGATCAACAAAGTTTGTCTAAGTCAAAGTTTATTAAACCAGGACTATAACAGGATCCGCAAAACCAGTGATAAACCAGGTCTAACCCAAGACATTAAGTGCGTAAAATTTCTAATGTAGGGTCCACCGCCTGCTTGTCTCCATGGAAATGTTACTGCTTTTTCTAGAATGTTCCACAGTATAGATTAAACTCATCTATCATGAGGGAGACAAGCAGGCTACACCACTACGTTACATTACATTTCAGATCTGTGGAGAGTCGCCCATATTCACAGAAGGAATTAAAGTATTTTGAGCTATAGAAACACCCGTAATGAATAAATGCTAGATGTATATTTTCATGTCATACCATGAAACATTCCAGGAAAAACATTAACATCTCCATGGAGAAAAGTAGGTAAGTCTCCACCAGAAAAGACACATAGTGGACCTTTAACCAGGAGTAAACTCTGACTAACACTAAACCAGTTAATTCCTCACAAGAGCTCAGCCTGAACATTTCCCCCCCGTATCATCCCTTGTGGTTTCCTGCTTTAGAGAACCACACCGACCCCCTCCTCTCCCCTTCTCTTCCCCTCGCCCGAGCTCCCCGCGCTGGGTACGAAACCGTGTACGAAGCAGTGTACGAGCCCCTTTGTTTACAGTGAGAACAGTGGGGATATAAAACGCACATAAATATAACAGCGCTCTCTCATCTATATAGACGGCTGCTTCGACACTGCTGCTTCTCTAGTGGGCCCAGATTGTGTTTTAAAATAAGCTCCCGGCGGTATGATTTACTACAATGTCTCCATACAGTACAGCCTCTCACGTGTGACCGCCAGTGCAATACTTCTTTAGGGAGTCAATGAGTTGTTGACTGCAAATATGAGCCTGGGAATGAAGCATAACCCTTGCCATGAGCATTTTACTGCACCAAATACATATAGTTGTTCAGAAGGAGCTGTTTATAAAGTCAAACAAAATGCACTGAACTTTAATTGAGTTTTGACTTAAAGGGTCCGTTGTTATACAAAACTGACTCTTGTGAGATTAAAGCAATGTTAAAATGTTAAAATGTTATAATGGGAAAGGCATCTGGTGTAAATATATCATCATGATGTAAACCATTAGGAGGAGATTTGTATTTGGAACTGAAATGCTAGTTAATTGCTGGTTAACATGTTATCACATCTACATCTAATATGGGAGAAATTGTGGCTACTTTTCACTCCTGTATTAATTGTATAATCCATAAAACAAAGCATAACTATCATGCAGGCTTACATTTTATTAAATCAAATACAGTCATTCCACATTACAAGAAGAGGTCAAATGAGTAACTGTCAAATGATTATTCAAATGACTTTCTAATGACTGGTATGATTATAGGCTTGCCTTTAACCATTATTATTACATGTAATCCCACATTTAAAACATAGTTGAGTCCACAGGGGTTTAAGTGTGCCAAAAAGGTTTTAAGGTCTCGTTTTGTACTTAACGCTTGGTTAATTTCCAACTTTGCCATGTTATTTTTACATGTTTGGCAAGTTAAACTGCAAATTCAAAAATGCATTTGGATGAGTGATTTGAAAGATTTATAACAGCTATCCGATTTATAACAACTATCAAACTAAATGTTGATCATTCTTTAGTTACTGACCACAACTTTGAAATTCATGCAAAACTTTGATGGAAAGTGGTATGAGTTTTTATAGAAGTATTTTGGCAACAGACAGTGATGCTCCTTGCCAAAAGTGCCTTCATCGGGAGCCAACCGGTACATTAAACTACCTCATTTCCTTTTTAAAAGCACTTATGCACGACACCTGCTTTTGTTTTGTAAGCCATTCAAGTTAATATATTTTTATAACTTAAAACTTGCAACGCGGGCTTCCTACTTTTCATACCACAATTACACACTTTGGCAACGTTTTGAATATAAGCTATTTGTAATTTGTGTCTGTAATAAGGAATACAACCAGGAGCTGAGAATAAAAGAGGTTATTTGGTTGCCAGTGAATGCAGCATAGCAGTAATGAACAAATGAAAAACACATGGAGTAATTTATCTAATCTTGATTCTCTTGAGGTCAGATGGGAGCAGAGCCCAACTAGATAACAGTCAACTTACTTGGGGCAATACAACTTGTGCCAAATACATCCTCTTTAACAGTGAATGGGCAGGCTCATTCAAAAAGTAACTTAAGTCAGTATCATTCAAGAAATGTATGCAAGTATGCTATAGAATGCAAATAAGTGTAAGTATATTCATTGGTACTTAAATATTCCTTTTACAAATATTCCAATTAAAAAATCTTATGTAATTGTCCATTTCTAACTGAGAGGTGCAACAAAATGCAGGAATTTGTAAATGAATTTGATATGATGTTTATGTCTGAGAACACCAACCTGAATGACCCTTTGTGGAGTAACAGGAGCATAGTAATAGTAGTTATGTTAGTGGTTGTGATCTCATGGTATCACTTTCAAGTTGAGTAAATTATGCTTTACACAATATGACTTCATTGTGATAACGTGTGAAATTCACCGTGGAATTGTTCTAATAACTGCCGCGTAAAAAGCAAAAATTACTCTCAACAGACTTCTGATTTGTCTTTTTAGATTTAATATTAGTATAAAAGTAGGCTTAAATAAGTATTTTTGCTTTTATCTCTCCAAAAAAATCACACACAAATTGCATAATCTGCAAACAGCACCATTTCAAAATAAAAAGACCAACCTGGCTGCTCTGTGGGCTGGAGGGGTCATATGACGGGACATAGCTTTTGAGGGGGTCTCCTGGGTTGAGGTGGGGCGGGTATCGGATCGTTGGGTGGGAGAAATACGGTGACGGAGCAGGGGGCAAAATGGTGGGAGCCGAAAACTGCAGAGGCGAGTGCGGCGGAGGGCTCCTCGTCGATATAACTGCAACAGATAGAACAGAGAGAGAGTGTGTGTTAAGTAAAGACGTCAATATTGATCTGTGAGGGCAAATGAGGAAACCAAAATAGATTTCTGCAAGTGCTTAGCTAAGGGAAAGTCAGTTGGTATTTATTAATTCAAACTGGGTCAGGAATGAAAGTTAAATAAAAGGTGTCAAACAAGGACAGAAGAGAGGTAAAATCAGGAATAAAAAAATAACCCAAACAGGATTAAACTGGGATCAAAGGTGTGCTTGAGTTGCAGTCAAACCACACCAAAAATGGGACTAAATTGGGACTTAACAGGGACAAACCAAGAATAGGACCAAACCAAGTCTATATCAGGACTGAACAGGGCTACAAAATAGGACCAAACTCTGAACAAAACTCTAAATTGATACTAATCCAGGGCTAAACAAGGTCTTAAAGTGAATTAAACTATAGATTTAAGGCAGAACTAAACTTAACCAGCGATAAATAAAAAAACTAAACTGGAAATAAAATGAACCAAGACTGAATTATCGCTATTCCTGGTTTTCAGCTACTTGTTTATAGGTGCCAGTTTGAGTAATTGCCATTAGTTAGTAAGTTAGTTTACTGTCTTCTTTCAAATGGCATATTCATTAACCATATAACAATGATTTATGAATAACAGAAAAACAAAAAATATACATAAACACAGTTATTCTACAGACCGAAGAGGTTGAAGAGGCTGAAGTTTAAAACTTATTTTGCCTAACCCTCTTAACACATAGAATAGAGTACAAGAATCATGAAAAAAATCATCATTTAAAAAAGAGAATATTTTGTTTTCAACTGTTTATTAACCAGGGCCGAAACAAAAACTAAACTATAACCAGACTATAACCAGAACCAAAGAATAAATCGTTTAGAAACCAAGGCACAGCTCAGACCTAATCCCAACTAAACCAGAGCGAGATCTAGGAAGCACAATATATTGCTGAAAAAGTATAGAGAATAAACGATAATACTGAAACTTATTTATGCCACTGAGACACAATAACCCAAGAGCAGATTTAAACCACTAAAACTATTCTAAATGTACAATGCTGTTAAAAAAATGAGCTGCAATATATAAATAAACAGCAGAATGAAATACTTTAGTACTTATATTGCATCAGTAACTTATTAATTCAACTTTCTAGAGCTCAAATCTTATAATATAGTCAAGAAATAACCAGAAATTTCCTAGGAGTGCAAAGAACATGTACAGAAAATAAATATTGACCCCAAAAAATATGTTTCCTACTGTCATATATTGAATGATAAGTTAATATAGTAATTATCGTGACAGGCTTAGCTAGATCAAGCCAAAACACGCCACAATGCGGTACAGGATAGAACCAGGCTGTGTTAAGTAAAGACCTCACTATTGATTTGTGCAGCTAAATGGAGTATTGAGATGGATTTCCTCAAGTGCTTAGCTCAGGAGAAGTGGCTCCAGCTCTAAGTGGGAGGATAGAGGATAGAGGGTGCATGTGTGTATGGGGCATGGGGGGGCGAGGTGAGAGGGGTGTAAAGGGGGCACTCACCACTGTGTCCGACACCTGTTAGTCCGGGGTGATGGCTCTGAGGGAAAGTGCTGAGTCGTGGTGAAGAGTCCTGCGGAGAGGTGGGGCTGAACAGCTTCTCCTGCTTCTTCATGGTGGGAGAGGACATGTCTGCTGGGGAGGAGCGCAAAGCAAGGTCAAGGAGGAGACGGACAGAGATAAACAAGCCAAACTACAACTATGGAACTACAACTATTTTGGACTTGTAATATGCTGTTCCCTTCAAATGATAAGGTTATGTTTGACAATTTGGTTCTTTTCTTGTTCCTGAATACCTTCTATAGACTATATAAAGGTTTATTTATTAAGTAAAAATACAATTCCCAATACAATTTAATTTGAGTGGTCAAAATTGATATTCTGTATCATTGTCCAAACTTCAAAATTGTTTAAAGGTCCTATGTAGGGATGTCCACATTTCTCAGTATGATACTTTCACGGTATACATTTCACAGTACGATATTTATTGCGATATTTTGTGAAGGCAAACAAAATTGTGAATATGATACTTTATTCTCTTTAAAATGCCTTGACATGCCTTTGGTTCTGTCATAATCTAAAGAATTTAAAGCGCTTAAAAACTGTTATTTCTTCATGTATTAGTAATCTGCACTGAAATGGAGCAAAGGATCATGGTATATGTAGTTCTCTCTGTTTTTTTTAGCTATATCGCTGCGCCATAACTATTAATTTAAGCAGAGAGACGTGTAATTCGATATACTATGATGACCCACGATATTATTGTGAGACTTCTGACGATACGATATCATGATATTTCGGTTATTGTTACATCCCTAGTCCTATACTATTTGATCTATGTTATAATATTTGTTGTGTTGAGTTGTGTTCTGTTTCATTCACACATGTTGAACACGTGCATATTTAGGCTTCTTTTCTCAAACAGAAAACACTCCTGATGTCATGTTGTAATATAAGAGTGCTCCACTGTGTTTTTAAACTTCATACACCTTCACTAGAATCATTTGGCGTACACGACATCACGGGGTGGAACAGAGCATTTTGAGCTTTGGAGTAGACAGACCAATAATAAAGGGTTACGTAAACATGTGTGAATGAAACAAAAAAGAAAGAAAGAAAAAAAAAACATGGCTTACAACTAAATACAGTAACTTTTAATGTAAGAGCAAATGAACCTTATATTATTAATAACTTTAGTGGCAAACATCTTCACAATCTTAAAGGCCCATATGTTGAATGCTATGCTATAATAACAGCAATTAACTTAATTAGAACAACCATTACCAGTTTGAAAAGAAAACAATAAAATGACACATTTATCCAATTGTCCACTAGGTCTTCACACAATGGTGGTTTTTAAAAACAATCAGATTAACTCATTAAATGATGCTGCTTAAAATATGTAGGATATTATGGGGTCATATTCCAAATGGTGAATACATTTTCATATAGGACTGTACAAAATAATCACTAAATAATGTATGGAGATTAAAAGCAGTGCATTGCCTTTTGTTTCACACTGACTTAAACATTAGTATAAAATGTGTAGAGTGGTCGGTGCCAAAAAAACAAATTATTGAAATCAGTCAGGATTAGTGTTATCCAGGGGCTTGTGTCTTCAGGAAAACCTGTAAACAACGACACATTTACAAATTAACAAAAATGCGCAATGTCAAAATCACTGATGATCTGAGGAATTATCTCAAATCACTCCACTTCTCCAGTCGACTTTGGAAAACCACAACTTTTCCTAGCGCATTAAAACCCAGTGAACTAACACCGGCCTTCCAAATAGGATTTAGGAATTTGAAGACCCTCACGTAATCTTAAATTGAATTTTACAGTGTAGCATCTGCTCGCCGCGGCCTGACAAGCAACTGTAATTCCCCATGAATAATCCCGAAGGCTCAGCTTGAACAAGAAATATGTTTACTAAACTGAACTTTATAAACTCAAAAAACTATGCCAACAAGTTGCTCATTATGGCTGCTCTATATTTTTCCTGAGCTATGTTCTGCTGTCATGGATGTGTGCTTTTCAATTTTCCCTGGTTGGACGCAGAGTCTGAAAGCAGCGTGATAACAAATAGATGTGCAACGCAATGGCTCATGTTTGTTTTTTTTTAGACAGCATTCATCATTGTGAATCTCCGAGGTCCACAAAGTTCAAATTCATTCATCATGTCTCTATAATACGCGTGAACATCACATGGGCATGTTTAAGATAGTCATCCATATACGTCCCTTATATCACTCTTTCTATGTAACTAGATACTTTTACGCAAGCAATTCATATTCCAGTGTATAAAATGTCCCAGATGGATTATGATCTAAGAACTGCATGGTCTTAAATAATTCTGTGGGAGGTATTTTAGAGAACATTGGTTGGTCCATGTCAGGTGTTCTCAGCCTTTTTCGCTTATACTTTTTCTCATCTACCAGGCAAATATATATGTACAGATACTATAGCACACTGTATTATTACTACTACTATTACATTTTCTTGTTTTAAAGGTATCGATGTCCAAAATCTTTCAAAACATAAATAAATAAAGGAGATGAAGAAGGCGATGGCACTCATATGTTGCTGTAAGAAGCAGAGGCAGTATAGCAGTAGTATAAATACTACTAGAAATAGAATTAGTACCATATATTTTTATTTTATACAAATTTTGGTTATGATTACTTTTTCTTGAGTAATAATATTTTGAAGTAACATGAGTACTTCTATTAGTAGTAGTAGTATTAGTCACAGTAGCAGCTGTGGATGCAGTTGTAATGATTGTAATTTGTTTGTATTTACTTGTATGTAGAATATAGTTGCTGTTGAAGGAGCTGGAGCTGTACAGTCTCGATGGGGCCCGTTCACAAGGAGGATCTCTTGTTTCTGGAGAAGGGGGTGACAAAGGTGACAGCGATTTGGGGATTTCTTATTTCTGAGGTTGTGAGAGGATACAGGCTTAAGTACTTCAATATTTGTATCACAGCGCGACATGATGTAGCACTATTGATATTATTGTAAAATGTTTCCATATGAAAACCTGCTTTTTCTGGTGCTAATTAAGTCCTCCAGAGACTCGCCTGGACTGCCTCGGGAAATTACACTGGACAATTAATTACAACTATTTAAGCACTGTTCAAAAAGTCAGCTTGTATTACTCCGTGCACAATGTTAAAATACACATGTTTTTTTATTACACCAATGAGGCATATCATTATAAAACTGACGAATGCAGTGAATAACAGATTACGTCAACATTGTGGCACCTGCTGATGGGTGTGGAATATTTTTTAAAACATTTTTCATAAATCGGCATCCGGGATTAATAAATTGTACAATTATTCGTTTTTCAAAGCTGCCCCAAGCCTCTGCATATAACTATGTCATTGTCCTCTGTGCATTAAAAGGGATTTTGAAAGAGCTCATATTACACTATTTTCTGATCTCTGTTATAATGTTGTTTCCTCATCACAAACATATCTTGTGTTTTGTTTCATTCACACATTTTTAACACACAAACTCTAGATATTTAGGTCATGTGGTGATACAAGAGATGCTCCACTGTGTTTTTAAACTCCATACACCTTCGCTAGAATCTTTTGGATGATATCAGATCTGGAATTGCCAGTTTTTATTGAACAAAAGGTAAAAGGAAGCTGACTAATCATAAAAGAATACTCAAACACAACTCCAGGTAATGAGGTAACAGCATTTTAACATGGCTTAAAGCTCACAATAGGTAATTTTGTGTAATATACGACCTTTAAAGTTTATTTGGGAACTTTATTTCAAGGTGTGGGTCTTGCTAATACATACATGGATACAAAATTAAATAATTACTCACTAAACAGGAAAAAATAAAACGTGAGAATGTGCGATAGTGGCAGCAGCAAGAAAAACTACTCTGGCTTGCATTGTTTGAAAAAAGGGAGGGGGAAGCTGGTTCACACATTATAATCTGTTGCCTACTAACAACAGACATGTGGTCATAATGTTTAGCCCGAACAGTACGCGCTCAGAAATCATGTTGCATGTTATCCTGTACAATGCCAAAAACCCACCATTGTACAATTGCGTAGCCTTTTCCCTATGTGGCTTTCCCTCCCTGCATTGTGAGGTTACTCCGAATGACAACCATGTGCTAGAATTGACCACTTGGCACTTAGCGCGGCCTCATATGGGTTTAATATCACTCCACTTTTTCATTTATTCTCTTCTGACAGAATAATGGCTTTCTTCGGAGAGTTTCCTGCCCACCGTGGTTCACCCCAAAGTGTCTGGCGTTATGGGGAACAATGAGCGCAGGCCGTGTGCGCTGGGACTGGGTAGGAGTTTGAGAGCGCTCCTGCTGTGGTCCGTGGTTATCCAGTCACCACAGTCACTACCACCACCGCTGCTTCTTCTAAGGCTGCACTGCTGTTTTCCTCCTATAGTCATGGGGCTTTTTACGGTCAAATTAAAATACAATATATATAACGTGTAGATTAGCTGATGAAAAGATGGGATTTACAGTGGTTTCAGACTGAGGTGTGTGCTTTATTTCTAAACTAGGCCAGCCCACAGTTACGGTATGTTGTAGAAAATGCAGATAAAATAAAAATATCTGTGAATATTTTAGAGTCGATTTTCAATTTCAAATTTATCTGGGTTTGGAAAGCTGCAAGATGACATTGGCTTGTGGTTAAATTGTAGCTCTATTGAAACAAAAGAAAATATAAGATAGGGCTGCGCAATGAATTTAAATTTGAATTGAGATCAAGATTCAGTCATTTCTAATCTACAGTGATCAGCCTGGGCCTTTTTAATGGAGAGGTCCACAGCCAATTCTCTGTCAGTTAAAACATGCGGTTTGGAGCTGAGACCAGACTTTAAAGAGGAAATGTGTTTATGTAGAATGACAGTGATTAAAAGTCTGTATTATTTATTAATTAAAAGCCACTGAAAGACAAAATAAAATAAACAAAACGTGAAATGTTATTGTCAGCTTCCTCAAATATCTGTTAACATAAAATAATTTGTTCATTTAGTTAAGAAATATATATGTAATATGAAAATGAATGAGGTTATTTTTCGCTTTCTTTGAAAACATTGTCTAAAAATACTGAAAATTAAAATAAATAAATAAATAAATCCTTATAATCCTGCTGTGTTCCTCTATTTGCAATACTTTGGTCAACTCCGGCTATTAGCTATCATGTGTGCATTTGGATTTCAGTGACCAAGCCAGGCGCTGGGGTGTGCAAAGAAGTCAATAGAGAGTGGGAATGATCCGGAAACATGGGACACTGGAGCATTAATTAAAAGGCCGACGACTCTGCCACTCCGCTCTGCACCAGGAGGCAGCATAATGAGACACACAAGCTATTCTGACCCCTCTCTCTTATCCCTTGACCATTTGTAAAGGTGCACTATGTAACTTTTCCGATGCATTGCTTGTTTCCGTAGAGATGTTACTGCTTTGCCTGGAATGTAATGCAAAAACTGAAATCTAGCCATGTTAAAGTGACTTGAGTTAAGGAAGTTTTATTAAAATTTGAGTAAATTTCACTTAACAAGCAAACTAATCTGCCAATGGAACAAGACTTTTTATACTTAAAATATGAAAATACATCTTGCTATAAGAAAAACAACAACTCTTTGCACTTAAAATAAGAAACTAAACCTATTGTTGCTTAAATTAAGAAAAACAGACTTGTTCCAATGGTAGATAATTTTACTCATCTACTCAAATAAAGTAAAATGTTCTTAGTTTAAGTCATTTTCACTTACCTAGGTATTGCTTTTTGCAGTGTGTCTCATCGTATCACATGTAATAATCTATCTTGCATGTTTTCAATTCCATGTGTTTTATTGCTAAAGAATGCATTGGAAAACATAGATTACTGTGAGATGGGTCGCCCCTCCACAGATTTGACTTGTAGCTTTGCCTAGTGGGGATCAACTGCTTGCATAAAGGGGAGCATTCCAGGAAAAGCAGTATTATACATTACATAGTTACATAGTGCACCTTTACATGACCACATTTTTGACCAACTGACAAATTCCTTTAGCACAACTGACTTTTCAATACTTTTCAGCCGACATGAAAAAGTTGATGAAAACTAAAGCAAACAGCTCTCGTGATGAGATTTTCAGTCAGAATTCCCCAGGTGCTGTTGCTAGAACACCATGTACTTGAAAGCCTTCCTCATTGGACGTCCAGTGTCTCCTTTGTGCATGAGACAGGTGTGAAAGAGAACTCCGATTTGCATTCAAAACTCCAGTTCAGAAGTGCTCAAACATTTATATGAGAGGAGAGGCCTGCGGCTATCTCTGTCATGGTATGTATTTTAAAAGGGTTGAACAGGTTCATGAGTGCGGAAACCAGATGCAGTTTACACGCAGTGAGAAAGAGAGAGAGGGCAGGAGCGTTCAAGCACATACTAAGCAGGCCACAATGTTTTTGCTATGGAGGAATTAGCAAAAGCCATTAAATGTGGCTAATATGAGGCTTTTGGCAAATGACAGTGAACCATAAATGAACTGTCCAAGTCTGTGTACGTTTATGCACTTTTATCTGAATTTGTAATCACCTTTTAAGCTAGAGGCTAAGGATAGGTTTCTGAATTTGAATGTTGATCAGGACAAGTACGAACAAGGATAACAGAATCCACTATGGTTCTGTTACTTAGTTAAGTTAAGTGACCAGATCAGATTCTTTTTTTTTTTTTTTGCAAGACTTAAATTTTTAAATATATAAAACCAACCAACAAATAAATTATTGGAATGGGATTGTTATTATTATTATTATTATTATTATTATTATTATTATTATTATTATTATTATTAATAATAATAATATAAGAAACTTTGTATGTAAACTTTATACTAGATTACAATGTCCCTGGTCTGTAGTCAGATGTGCAACTATTCTATTAAATTAAAGTAAACAAGTGCACCTGCTTTGCCAAACCACAAAACTTTCAAATGTGTGAAACAACCCAAGAGGATGTAAACAGGAAGTCAAACATGAAACCTGTCAAGAAATGTCAAAAACATGTCAAGGTATGTGTAAACAGTGTTATAAATAACCTATATTTAGAAACCTCTTTGAATCACATGAACACGAAACAGTGAAATCACCTCCGTCACGGTCGTGCCAGTTGGCGCGGCTGCTGGCAGGTGAACTCGGCGAGGAGTAGAAGTCTGGACCGGTCGGGCTGGTGTCCATGTTCTCATCCATGTTCACCGTTTTAGGCCTTTTGCTGAAGAGAAATACAAGAATATATTTGTGCATTTTTCTTATCTTTATTGTCACTATCAGCAGTCAAATGAGACAATGTTTAGTTTAGTTTAGTTTTTTTTTAACAATAGTCATCATGTTTACAATAAAACACTAGCAAATATTATCATTTCCAAACTGTAGCAGTGCATTTTGTCAGTCATTTTAATCTTAATGACATTATTGCAAATTTCAATTGATACAAAAAATATGTAGCTCACTAATCTAATCTAAGTTTTTCTGAAAGACTAACCACAAAATCTTACTAACAAATGATTCACCATAGTTACAGCCTTTATAATAAAGTTCTTTAATATTTCATGCAAATTCCAGTGGGCAGTGAATTTTTTCTCTATCGTTTTAATCTTAATAAAATTATGGCCACTATCAATTTGGTACAAAAGATATGTAGCCTACTAATCTAATCTAAGTCTAATTCTTTTTTTTTTCTGAAAGACTAACCAAAACCAAAATATTACTAAGAACTAGGTGTATTCTTCCTCTGCAGGTCACTTTTGTAGAACTGCAGTGTGGATCTGCTTTTTCTTTATTTTTGTTTACTATAATTTTTGTCTTTGGGCCCAGCACGCAATCGCAACTTTTACTGGATGCGGATGTTGCTATCTATCAGTAGAATTTTGAGAGTAATTGCTTCAAATGACCCCAAAATATAAATTTGGAATAAATATATATTCCCAAAATTCAACTGCCCTACTCCATTGCGACTCTCCCTGTGACATTACCAACCCCTGCATTAGCAACTACAACAGCAAACATGATGCTACAGAGGAAGGTTACACAGCTATGACCTTATTCTAATTGTGCTAGATTTGCTTGTTTGCGCTTTTGGAAGTTTGCACTGACCTGCCGGGAGGGGAGGAGAGGGAGCGATGCAGCCCCACACTGGAGTTCAGGTCGTGGTAGTACGGTTGGCTCGGCATATCCATGGAGAAGTTTACCGCTGCGCCGTGGGTGATGGGCACTACGGAGGACACATAAAAGATACAACTTTAATCACCGTAAGAGAGGCAAGGTACATGTCAGCACTATAAGCCCGAGCTGGGGGATGCACAATTAACTGTAAGGCAAAGCTTGAGTGACTGTTATTGACGCTTTGAGTTTAGGGGTATCAAATCAAACGCTCCCAATTCACAGGTTAACTGCCCCGACCAGCCAGCCCTATCCGCTGATTAACAAGTCGGTGAAGCCCAAAGAGCTATAGGGAGCCACGGGCGACAAAACTTTTACCTTATAGTGCATTTGCTGTCTTTTATTATCTCAAGTGCACAACAAATCCAATTGTGTAAGTGAGTGGCCCCTAAAGTTCGCTGTAATCAATATTGTTAGCAGCAAAGCAAGAAAAGCCAGACAGATAAAATCCATGAATCTCCTTGAAGGCTCCTTTAGTGAGATTAAAAGCAGGCAAGGGTGCTGCACAAACTTATTCCAAAGGCTAAAAATGCTGTGTAATGTTTAAAAGTGCTGAGTTGTTCTTCTGTTATGTTTAAGGAATTAAGGTAGGAGTGACAGCTACTGCAGCCAATCACATCAGTGTCTGACAACCAGGAACATGTGAAAGATGAACTCCTACTGAAATGAATGAGGTCATAAACATGTGCACGTCAACAAAAAGCGCACTCAAATTCTTAAAATAACTTTCTTTTATTATCCCAAATAAACGGCAGGGCAGCTGGAATAAAACTCTAAGGTAAGTTAACAAGTATTTACCTAGAAGGGAAAAGAAAGTTGAGACATTATTTTAATTAAACCTATAAATGTCTTGATTGAGCAGTAAATGGACAATTGAGTTCAGAAATACCACTATATCTGTACTTGAATGATTACTTTGAAAGTTTAGTTAAATTTTTAGTTGTACACAGCTCTTTTTAAACACTTTTCATCACAGACAATAAAATACATTTTTCATTTCCACTATTCCACAATAATGTCATAAATTTAAAAAAATATTTCCTACCTCTAAAGAAGTATAAGAGTATTATTTTCTGTATTTTAGTAAGTTGCATCACTATTTTATTAATTCAGGCAATAAGTTAAATCTTGCGCTACTCGCCATAGCACCATGTCTTTCTTTATGATTTACTGCTGAAATTAAGGTGTTATTTTCCTTATTGCGGTCCAGGTCTGGGATATTGTTTCAAACCCAAAGGCAGTTCACACTCTCTCTTTCCTTTCTCTTTCTATACCCCACTCTGTCCCAGAATCTCTCTCTCTTCGCAATCGCTATAATTCTCCCCTTCTTCCCTCCCGTCTCTCTGTACCTCTCGCCTATCTCTCATCCTCTGTCCTCCTTTTTCTGTATGCCCCTTCCTTCTTTCTTTCTCTGACCACTCTCAATAATTCCCTCGATCGTTCTCTCTCTTTGGCCTGGTCTCTCTATACCTTCCTTTCTTCCTCCCTCTCTTTCTGTACCTCCTTCCCCCTACACATCCCTCTTTCTCTTTCTCTATATATACCTCTCTCTCTATACTCCCACCTCTGTCCCTCTCTGTTTATACCTCCCTCTGTCTCTCATTTTCTCTCTTTCTATCTCTCTATATATACCTCCTTTTCTCTCTATCTATATTTCACCCCTCTCTCTCTCTCGTGGTCTCTCTCCTCTTTCCAAACCTTTCCTCCTTTCCTCTCTCCTTCTTTCTCCCTCTACCTCTATACACCTCCCTCTTTCTCTCCTCCCTTTCCTTCCTTTCCTTCCTCCCTCTCTCCTCCTCTCTCTCCGTTGATGAGAGCAGAGAGTGTGTGGCCCTGTCTGTTGTGGTCTGAGGTTCACCACTGGCACGATCCATGGACCAAAACCCTCGTCTAAAACCCTGGCAAACCCCACTCCGGGCCTTGGCAGCGCCCCCTACCCACGACCCACCACAACGCGCCGCTTGTGGAGGAATGTAACCGGCTCAAAGCGACCATTGTTATTCTTTCATTCATGTCTGAGGACGGCCCCCGAATATCATTGACACTGGCGTTTTTTCTGTTTTGGCTAGACAAGATTTTTACAGTGCCACTTGGCCACTGTACTAGATTTGACTTGTACGCTGTGACGCTCCAAAAAGAGTGCTTAAGTAGATGGCACAGGCCCTTGTTGTGATTGCTTAGCCTATAACAAAATGAGAGCAATTAGTCCATCAAATCCACAACATCTTACAAGTCTATATTATTTTAAAAAAGCATGATTCAAGTGGAAATACAGTTCTCACACTGAAAAAATCTCAATGACTAAACACATTTTTGTACATCATTAGTAAAATAGGCCTGACACTGTAGTACATTTTGAAGCATGATATATTGCTACAGAGATGTACTGCGATAAATTATAATACTGAAACTACATTATGCCACTGATACAATGACAATAATGCAAGATAATCCTTGTATTTTTATGTTTATATAGAATAATTAAGTGGCATGACCCGTAACAGATTAATAACAGAGTGAAGCAATACAGAGGTTAATTTTTCAAACCTTTACAGCTCAAATCTCTTTATATTACAGCACTTTTACACTTTTACTTTTACAAAGAAAGTGTACACACAGTAAATTCTGAGACCCAAAAAATATTGTCCTAGCTTTCATATACTGAATGATAAGTCAATATACTGTAGTAATTGTCGTGATTATAGTAAAGTTATAGTAGAAATGTTTTTATCTTATATTTTGTTTGTACACTGAATTAGTGTACAAACTAGTCTCTCCAAAATATCACGATAAATATCATGTCGTGAGATGCATATAGTGATACCATGAGATTCGGATATCATTTGGTTACATCCCCAGTTCTAGAGTATCATATCACTAGTATCTTGCCAACGCACGTCCCTTCTAAATTCTATGGCTATTATGTCAACAGTTCCTCTGCCCCTCTGGTCCTCTCAGTGTTGACATAATACTTTTAAACATGCAAGGGCCTCTCTGCTGTTGCATTAATGAGCGGCCTGGTCCAAATGCTGGTCAGCCTTGAACCTTGAGCGTGCGTGCCTTTGATGGACTTCAAAGAGAGTCTCACCCGCGCACAGAGTCAAAGAGGAGATAGGGGGACACCAGGCAGCTCGCATGTCTGTCCTGGGAGTGACCAGACTACTGACTGACAACTCCAGAGCACCCGCCGACCTTTTTAAAATTCCAAGCTCCGAAAACTTCAGTCGGCTTTAGTGCAATGGGCCCGGGCACAGGAGACCCTTGCGCCAGCGCCATCTGCTTAGGGGGCAAAGCTAAACGCTAAACAAAAACAATGCCATTTCAAAGAGTTTAGAGAGGTTGTAAATGTCTCATACAAGTTTGGAGATCAGATGAGGCGTGCGTTGACTTTAGAAACTTTGTTAATACGAAGTTGTTGCAGTTTGGCAAATTTCTACTGCAAAAAAATATTTCTAACTCATATTTTTACATTGATTTTAATAGGACAAGCAAGTAAAACTGTGGAGAAAGTGTGTTTTAATATGATAAATAAAATGATCTTAGCGTCTCTGGTTGACTAACATAACAGCAGAATATTAATTTTAACTACTATATTGACTTGACATGTTAGAGGGAACAGTAATTTTTGGGGGTCAGTATTTATTATGTGTACTTTTTCTTAGTAAAAGAAGGAAACATTTTGTTATTTTTGGATTACAGTTAAGATTTGAACTGTAGAGGAGTGAATAAATAACTTCTACGACTCATTATAGATACAAACTAACTACTAAGTGTTTCATTCTGTAACTTGTTTATTGTCGGATTGGATTTTTGAACAGTGGTGTAGATTTAGACTTGTCTTTTTTGGATAATCCTGCTTTAGGGTTATTGTGTCAGTGGCATAAATTTGTTTCAATATTAGTGTTTATTGTATATATTTACATCAGCAATATATTGTATGAGAAATATAAGAGAAATTACTAGCAAAAAATATTTCTATCTGTTATTTTGTACACTGAATTGAATAGGGCAAGCATGTAAAAAATGTGGAGAATGTGAGAAAAAATATGTATCTTAGCATCTCTGGTTGACTAACATTATAAAAAAAAACAAAAAAAACAATATTAATTCAAATATTTTGCAGCTGCACCACTATTACTGCAGTTCATAATATTCTAATAATATTTTCTGAAAAAAAAAAAAAAAAAGAAGCATTAAGTATTCAATATGAAAAAAGAAAATTGTCTGAAGGTTAATAATATTAAATGTACTTTGAAGGACTAAGTGATTAAGTGATTGACATTGCCAAAAAAGAAAATATCTTAACCTGCCAACCCTATTAACATCTCTATAAATGTAGTGACGTAAAATAAAAAAGTACCTCTTATAAAATCTTAATTATGTACAACAATGGTACTTTTCACATTCCAGCGCTGCTTTCTGAATGGGCCCTTTGTGTATCCTAGTCTTGTATAATGCAATAATAATGTACAAGGCATCACAGGTAAACGAAGCCCCGGGCGATTCAGCAGAACTACCTTAAACGGCTCACATACAACTGCATGTCTAAACAGGGAGCCGCACAGGTGTTCGAGCAAATTCAAACCCGTCAAACCAGATATTCCACTGTGCAATCAGACAGTCAAACCTTAATCCTGTGAGCTTCTTGGAAACTGTATGTTGAGAGTAAATAATACTCCCTGTTATTTAGTTTGATGCTACAAAGAGAGGAGTTAAATGAGGACATGACCCCATAATTGAGTTTAAACCTTAGGCTGGGATAATGATCAATGCAAAGTTAAAGAGTGGCTTACTTCTAGATACCCGCACCAGCTCGGAAACACTGAAAACGCCAGATTTGATGAAGCTGTCCTCCAAGTACACTGCAAAAAACAACAGAAAAATTGTTACACATTGGCAAAAAAATCCAGGAATATGACAAAAATTTCCAGAGATGTTTTGGTTGTCACTTGGTGTTATGTAAATTTAAAATAAGTGCGACGGATTTCTAGTAAAATAGATTTTGCACTGCTGATGACAATTAAATGTGCTGTACAATTTGTGGACATGTTTTGTGTGTGTTTTGAAAAAAGACAGCTTCCTATTCTCTGATCAAACATGACTTGTTACTTATCAATATATGTAAAAATCAAATTCACTTAAGTGCACATTAATTAGCTTCACTGGTTTTATTTTATACAGCCAGCTAAAATAGAATGCAAGTTTAGCAATATTAGGACAATAAGAGAAAAGAGTCTCAGCCTATTACTGTCAAAACATACAATTTAACCTAATCAGTTTTAAGGCATAATAAATGTAATTATAGTATTAAATATAAAGGTTCAGCTAAGGTTGTATTTATATTTAGAGGCAGAGAACCATCGATATCTTGCTTATGTAAATTTATGAGTGGAAGAATGTATAGTACGCAGGGTAATCAAAAGCCGTTCGTCAGCTAAAACTCCCAGACAAGTTCCTGACACCCAAATGACTCTTGCTCTTTGATGCCATGCCAACGCCACGGAAACCCTGCCAAAAAAGATCAGCGGCTCGATTGGCACCTACAAAAGTCAGTCTCCCGCCTCCAGTGTGCTAGCTCGGCGTTAGCGAAGGGGGAACCATGCCTACTCCCGAGGTCTGACGCTTTGGCTCGCTAGCATGTTTTCCTTGGCACCCGATTCAGCGTAACCTGCTCTTGAGGTAGAAAAGTAATTATGGCGCTCACAAACTATTTTCATTCCTGTATTGTGACGGCATGGCGTAGGTCAGTCAGGGGAACAACGGGGCTGTCAGTGAGGATGGGTTCTGGATCACCCCCAAAGATCCGCTCAAGGCTACAGGCAAATCTGCTGCGATGTGCTCACTATCAATTTACAGGGAGTGGTAATGTTGTAGCACTAAATTTTCAGGAGACTTAAAATATTGAGACTTCATATTATCATAAGAAAATAAGCTATGTTTAGTTTACAGTACAGCCAGCTACATTGGTGGGACATTGCTACAGTTTATTTTTAGTGTCATGGGACTACATTTTTGAAACTTTTAAAACATGGATAATGATTTGTTCAATATTTATTCTTTGAGAATTTAACTGTTCTTACACTGACCTGTAATGTGTCTACAGAAGTACCTATTAAAAAGAGTGAATGTACTTGTTTAATTTCATCATATATGTCATGTATATGAGATTATTGTATATCCTTATATTTTTAATCATCCATATTTTAATCTGCTGTAATATATTGTGATTTACATAGTTGTGTGTATGTATAATATTTTGAATATAAGTGCAAGTTTTCATTTTATTTTGGAATAGTTCATTTTTAATTATTAGTGTCTGTAAAGGTGTGTGCAAATCATGTTTTTTTCCTTAAACTATGCCACACAATCCACTATATCATTGTCACTCTAATAATAATTTAAACTAAAACATTTATTTATTACAGAATATATATATGTTACTTTTGCTTTTCTTTAGGATTTTTTTCATACCCTGAGTCTTGGCTCCACTGTCTATAGGTAAGTGAGTTTATAGTCTGTGCATAACTCTGTAGCTACCAGGTATGTTTGCTATGCACATGGTTGTGACTGTACTTGAACAATAGGGTGCTGACAGCAGAGTTGATGAGTGATACTACGTACCTGGAAGAGGGTTCTTGCCTGGCTCATTGTTACTGGGACTTCCTGACTGCTGCGAGTCTGCAAACACACAGGACAGGACATAAGAGTTAGGATATTACAGTATAAGGAAAAGCTGCACAAAGTAATGCGAATTATACAGGCATACAGTAAGGCTTGGAAAGGTCAACGAGGTACATTTATATGAGTAAATATACAGTTAGACACATATTACTACAGTTTTTTGTTCAACATATTTTTAGATTATTGTCTATTTAAAATCTCTAGTTTTTGTGGTAAAAACAGATCATTTGTTTGTCTTGGTGTCATGTATTTCTGAAGATTTCATAGCTGAATGTTTGAAAATCAATTGACATATTCACATGCTAATTTTTGTCCTATTCGTTTTTATCTTAAAAGTTATAAAACACTTTTCATAATAACACGTACCTCTGTTCAGACTTATAACATCACATTTTATCTTTAATTAAACATCTCGCTTGACGTCTTAATGTTTTTCTTATCTGTTTACACACTATTATCATGTATGAAAGAGTAAACTTTGCAAAAGGCGTAGCACTGTCTGACACAGGATACTATAAAACTGTTTTTAACTGGCTTCATGTTCAGTATATGAGTAATTTTTCAAACAGGCTGCTGCTGGAGGAGTGTCCAGGGGGGCACAGAGAAATGTGTCCGATCCTGCTGTTCAAGGTACGAATACAGTAGAAAAAAGTGAGGGGCGGGTAGCAACCAGGAAACATGAGCGGAATTCTTTCCACTGACTTTGCTCCACGAAGGTTTAGTTTGAGGCGACTGGGACTGACGTGCACTGTACCTCACCGGGGAGGCAGGGCTGTCAACCCCCTGGAGGAAAAGTTAATCAAAAATAATCCAAACAGGAAAGGAGGATAAATTAAAAAGTGCTCGTTGGTGGGGTAGTGGTTTAAGCTGTTATATATGCATTTGATATCACCTTGCCCTGTATGTCTCTACCCACTCTCTCCTCATTTCATGTTATAACTGTCATGTCCAATAAAGAAAATGTTTATAATCATAAAAATAACTCAAGGCAAGGCACAGGTTGAATCTATCAACGATACATAGTGCTCAGACTCACAAAAAGGATTTAATATTTCAAGATGTAATGCTATTAAAATCTATATTATTATCTATATAGCCTCCATGAATAAGGCTCTGGATCATCTCACAATGATAAATGAAATACTTTAGTTTGGGTCAACACTCTAGTTAAACAAATTACTATTTTATCACGTAAAGTTAGGGATGTATCTACTTATGGTATGCAATCCTTAAAACATAAAAGCCCTGTATGCCCACAAAGACAACATCTTTCGCTGTAAATCAAATCTTGGTTATTTTGGAGGAAAATCCTTCCAAAAAAAAAACATACAAGGCGCTTGAGTGTAGTGGACCTCCAGTTTGATTGAAACCAGTCTGAGCCACACACATGCCCCAATGAAAACCAGCAGTCCGATTATCATCTCCGCCTTAAAACACAGACAAGAGACAGTGAACTCAGATACCCCCTGCTCACATCAACCGCCTTTTCTGCCCCGAATTGTGTTACAGCGGTTGGATAGAGGGAAAAAATAGGGGGAGTTGTAGAAGTAAAAAAATGGCTGAAAGATTTATCCCTTTCTTGTTCCCTTGCAGTGTCTCTGGTGCCTGTTCCCCCCGCTCCTAAATTTGACTATTAAACAGCGCTGCAAAAACAGAATGTTCTTGGCCGAAGCTCAACGATGACAAAGTAGGGAGGGAGCAAGACCATACGTTAAGAAAAAGAAAAAAAAAATCCCCTTTTTTGTAAGTGTAGCCCTAAAGTGAAGATATATGCAAGCGTTATAATGTATGTCGGCAGTGCTTCCGGATAGCATAAAAACATAGCTCAAGTTTTAGTAGGCTGCTGTAGAAAAAAGATTGAAAATTATTTATGTGCGTCTATTCATTTGTATGGTCTCAGCAAAACAGTTCCCACTGCTTTGCTTGCAGTAAGGCGCAAGTCTCCGCACACACACACACACATTAGGGTTGTAAAGCTGCTTTTGTGGCCGGGCCGAGTTTTGTGTGGACTTGGCACAGTACATGTCTATAAAGTGATTGCGGGGAGCTCGGGCGGCCTTGTCTCTCTGTCTTCCCCCGCCCCCCCATGCCACTTTCAGAGTCATCCATCAGTCTAGTTACAACTGCCAACTCCACGCCCGCCGCAAAGACACAGAGCCGCAGAGAAAGGAGAGAGAGAGGGGGGAGAGGAAGAGGAAGGTGAATGTAGTGAGAAGAAGAGGGCTACAGTATACGAGGGGGAGGGAGGGGGTGAGTGGCTTTAAGTCCGATCAGAGTTTGTGTTTTTGTTTTGCGTTTTTTTCCCGACTTCAAGGGCTGAACAGGCAACCATGACAAAAAGAGCAGATGGTCGTGGCAATTAGAGATCCCAGGCAGCATCCTCCAGCATGAGGCCCCGCTGTAGCACCAGGAGAGACCACCTGGACGACTCAAGGTGGATCCGGCATATGGCACATCTGCCAAGGCTGCGCCCGAGCGCTGTACACCTCCCCTATTGCATTACATTTTACCTTTGACCCAAGAAGGGCAGCACTGGTACCACCACCTCCGGGCAAATACAGTATGTGCTAAAATTAGGATTTTTAAGGTTGAGCGGACACAATGTAACCTTATAGTAAAGTTATAATAAATGGTAGGTATTATTTTGTAAATCAACAGGTCTTTAGAATAGATATGCCTGTACGCTGAACGTTTACACTCTAGTGGAAAATTAGGAAGAGGGTGTTGAAGAATAGGACCTACAAGGCATGAAGCCTCAGCCTGTGTCTGAAAGGTGTTCTGTGCAGAAGCCGGGCCAATCCGATAGTGTTCAAATAAACACTGGAGTAACCTGTAAATAAACAGTTGTGGTGGAGGAGGCCGGCTCTGCCCTGGGAGCTTGGCAGGGCTGGAGGAGTCTGACACACACACGCCACACGTACACCCACGGCCCTTTCCAAAAACAACATTTCTTGGCACCCTCTGTCCCTGCCACTTGTTTAAATAAACAAACCGTTTCATGAAGGAAGCACGTATGAATCAGATTATCTACTGTTACTCAGCAAAAGGGAAAAAACAGCAGAGGAGGCTTGTGGCTATTGGATGTGTCCATGAGTTCTTACACCTTCTTGTCCGGTGGGATACTTATCATACCACTGTAACCATTAAAGCAATTAGGGGTAATGGCAACAGAAATCTGGCTCCGCAAGAAAGTTGCTCAGTTCTTGTGAGGTTTCTCCACGCCCATGTGTGTTACCCGCCTGGATTTTATAATCACTAAAACACTCGCTCACTCCACGAACCCACCCCTCTCATTTCTGGCATGATACCCACTCAGGTCCCCTAAATAGTGGGATACACATGCACATACACAACACAGTGTGGATCAAATTAGCCACAGTTTAGGAAAGTATAGTTCTTTACATTGATGCACGGCCCTATCCCACAAACACATGCAGACACGTACAAGTATCCCACAAAATAAGAGTGCGCACGCGCGCCACGCACAGCCTGCAGATGCATACCGCTGTCGACATTTCAGGAGAAGAAGCCTGTCTGGCAGCCATTTTATGCCGAGCGGGGTTCTGTGCACATGTATAGCACTCTGGCTGCCAGAGGCATGGGTCCTGAGCCAAGACGCATTTCAGCAGCCTGGGGAGGCAGGAGGGAGGGAGGACTCCAGGAGAAACAGGAACAGAGAGAGGGGCAGAAATATCGACCTCATTACAGCACAGCTCTGATGCGTAATGTTTCGACAATACAGCTGCTCCTGAGTAAATATTTGATGTGGCCAAGCCGCCTTTCTGCTCAGTGTCCTCCTCTGTACGGAGCAAGAGCTTCATGGAGAACAAACCTGAGAGTTTGTTTGGAGGCCATGACAGTGCTGTACGAGTCTGTGTGCTGTGTGCTAGTGCAGTGTCCTCCTCTGCTCCTGGATTCTATCATTGGCAGTTTGCAGATGACCTCACAGCGCTCGGGCTGCCTTCCAACCGTTGCCAGATCCTGCTCTATTCTCCAAATCTCTTTCTTTTTCTGCTCACTATCAGTCTATCTTTGTCCTACTGCCTGACACACAATCCTGACTCCATTGTACCTCACGCCTGTGTGTATATCTGTTATTGGGTATCTGTGACAATATCACCTTATACAGTTAAAACTATATCTTTTAGACCTCCTTGTTCCCATATGTCTCCATTGACTCCACTGCTGCACCTCTCCATCTGCGATCTCCTTTTTGCCGCCTTTTTAGCCGGTCTCTCTCTCCTGTCCTATCTCTTTGTCTCTCTATCTCTCCCTCCCTCGCGCTTTGTTGTCTAAACAAAGTGGCCTTTATCAGGATGAGCCGCAACCCAAACAAGCCAAACAAAAGATATGGGCGAGGAAATGTGCCCGCTGACGAGGGGAGGATCTTTCTGTGCCAACCATTGTGTGCCAGCCTGCCAACTGCCGATGCCCCCCGCCGCCCGCACAGCCACCATCCCTCCCAATAACCACAGACACTGCATTTTGGCATAGAAGCCCCCCAGCCAACTTGTGCGTGGTATCCTGCTAGAGGTTGGCACTGGGCTTGGACCACATGACACTGATATGAATGGTAAGGGTCAGCAGGAGACAGGGGGCGGCCATCTTGGACTGGCATCAGTAACTAATGAGTGTAGGTTGCCAGTGTATATGTTATGTAAAGCCAAATGCTTTTCTGCTTACTGCGTAATGATCTTATATTAGGGTATGGGGCAATTAAATAAAACAAAATAGGCTTAGTGGCTTTAACATTTCAAACCCGAAGTAAAAGTAAAATTACTTATTATGAACTTATTATAAAGACAGTCTGATTTTTCTTAAAAACTCTAAATCAAACAGTTTCAACTAGTTTTCAGAGGTCTCAAGGTATTTCTCCCTTTCATTCTAGCATACATACTGGGGCAAAACAAATTTTACTTCATTATATAAAGGGATCAGGTACAGACCCACTAGTCTATTAGAACTACTACAAGTGCTGGAGCTGAACTTTTATGAAC